TCTCTTATTCTGGAAATGGTGCCTAGAATCTGCTACCCATAGTCTGCTATTTGTTATTTTAAGAATTATGTCTGTCTGTCTCCCTCTCTCTCTCTAATACATGTCAAAAAAGCCAAAGATTTAACCAGCTTAAATTTGCCTGGTCCAGTTTAACATGCTGGTGAATCAGGCATTTAGCATTCTAAATTTAAGCACAATGGAGGAATTTGTGTTTAGGAAATTTAATTAAACTAAACAGTTCAAAAGCACAATCCACTTCAAATTATACCATTTTAAGACTGAATTACTTTAATAGCAGAGAAAGACACCTTAACTTTACCTCAAAATCAACTGTCATGCTGTTTAAATTCTTAGTTAGGATCCAAACAACCTCTTATGTTTTACTATGTTTTTATATGCACTGTAAGCCGCCCAGAGTGGCTAGAGAAATCCAGCTAGATGGACGGGGTATAAGTAATAAAATTATTGTTGTTGTTGTTGTTGTTGTTGTTGTTGTTGTTATCATTACGCCTGCAATAGAACATTTGCTGCATCCCTCTTTCCACACAATATCAGGTACCTTTAATAGGGAGTACTGTGGGATTTGGGGGATCAGAATTTTTTTGGGGGGGGGAGACTGGTATTCCAACTAGAAGAAAACAACCACAGAGCTCCTGTGAATGCATAGAAGCACTTCAGGAATTTGGATAAGGATTTTTTGAATCCCTGCCAGACAAGAACTTTCTATAAAACGTTAAAACTTGCTACTAGCTGCTTCTGTCATTTATAATTAGAAATTATAGTAAATGATTCGGGCAGTCTGAAATATTACTTTTTGTTTGAAAAATAGTAACAGAAAAATTGTTGATATTACTCTTCTTTTTAAAAAGCAACTTTAATTTTTTGTACATGTAAGATTGTGGGAAATATACTGGTATCTTGTTAGGTAAGGTGTTAAAAATACCGAAGTGCAAGTATATTATGAAACTGAGGGAGGTGAACATTTCAAATTCAATTTTCATTAACACAAGTTAATGAGGTGAAAAATGTCCTGTCTATTTTTTTAAATGAAAGCAAAAAATGCCTCAGGTAATGTTGCAGAGTAAGCAACATAAGCCAACTACAATCTCTGCTTCACTTCTATTTCATTAAAATTCCAAGATGTCAGTAGATCTCAGGTTGCTATAGAAAATATTTCTCAAGCAACACTGTTTAAAAGGTACTAACAAAGTGTACTTCCTCATAAAACATATCCCCACCCTCCCCCAGCTCTATATATTAATCATGTGTCCAGCTAGAGCAGGCATCCCCAAACACGGCCTCCAGATGTTTTGGGACTACAACTCCCATCATCCCTAGCTAACAGGACCAGTGGTCAGGGATGATGGGAATTGTAGTCCCAAAACATCTGGAGGGCCGAGTTTGGGGGTGTCTGAGCTAGAGGTTTCTTTGAAGTTTTCATGGAAGCAGAGTTCTGACACTGGGAGCTGGTAAAGAGTGAACACCTTTTTAAAAAGCAAAACCCATTCATTTGTCTGCACAACAACAAAGTGTAGCATTATAATAATCAAACTGGGAAAGCCTTGGATATTCTAATCTCTACCAATACAATAAATAAATCCAAGTTTTCATTCTAACATGTGATTATTGTGGTTATTTACGATATTGGCGCGACTCCCGCTAATTGATTTATTGGTCCTCAATTAGCCATTGCAGCCCGGCACACTTCCCTGCGAGACTCTGCTCCGTCTCCAGCAGCTCTTCAGTCAGCTCCAGTCACGCCAGTAGCAGAGATAAGCACAGCGGTGATGAAACTGTCACGTCCTTTGGTTCAGCTTCCAGACAAACACACATAGACAGGTTCGTCTATTTACAGCTCTTTATTCCGACATTCCCCCAGGGATTCCCCCTGGGCTCCTGGCAGCCATTACCGGCTACGTCTTTCTCCCTCACCGGCCAGAGGGGAACAGAACAGAAACCACTCCCAGGCTCCTCCCAGCTTCCACAGCTGACGTCAGAATGTTGAGGCATCCTGGGAACTTCTTAACCAGTTAAGTTCCAACCTCAACACCCCCTCTTGCTGAAACCATTCTGACATGACCTTTTGAGCTCAACACCTTTACCTTTGCCTTGTGCCACTTCCCGGCATCTTTCCCAGGCACCTGTTGAACCCCTTCAACATTCCCAGAATCACACTGTGCGACACTTTTCCACGCACCTGTGACCTGATACCCTACTGACCCATTAGGGCCAGCAGTTGTGTCTTCTCCGTCAGACTCTTCCCCCTCTGACGTGACACCCCTTCCGTGAGCTTTCTCCATTACCGGAGATGAAGCCTCACACCTGGACACTCCTTTCACAACCCTTGGAGATGCCCAAACCTGCCCTGAACCCTGACCCTGGACTTGGTCCCCATCACCGGGTTTTGAACCCTGATTCTGGACCTGATCCCCGTCACCGGGCTCAGCCACAGCCTCCCTTCTCCCTTGAGAAGACTTTGCACCCGTCACCTAGTGACGTTTTTCCTTTTCCTTGAAAAACTTCTCCAGAGCAGACCCAGTAAACTGTGACCCTCGGTCGCTCTTGAACCCTTGCGTCCTGGTGGAGAACCTTAGTTCTACCTCCGCAACCCAATCCTTGATCAGTTGCGCCGCCTCTCCCTGTGGTTTGAGAGAGAGACACCAGCCAACCTGGCTGTGGTCATCTGTCAGCGATGGCACATACCTGGCCCCACCCAGACTCTCACACCTCATGGGTCCTGACAGATCTGTGTGAACAAGCTCGAAAGCTTCCTTGGCTACCCTCCCAAACCCGGGAAAACCAAGTACCTTTGCACCTTTGCATGCCCTGCACCCTTGGGACCTCCCACATTTCCGGAGTTTGTACCCTTTTGTGCACCTGTGCAACTTTTGCACATCACTGGGAACCTTAGCACACTGCACCTGTGCTTTTTCCAGCATTCCCACCACCCTCCATAGGTGACTCCAGAACAAAGAAATTGTTCTTGCTCTTCGCCATGTTGACCCGTTGTCGCCCCCCTCTGAAAATGGAACAGGTGTCATTTTCAAAGCACATTTTTGAACCCCTGCTTCGTTAGAGCAGATACAGATAACCGACAACAATTCAGTCCCGGCACAACGTAGACCTCTTGCTCCTCCTGTAAAGGAGAGAAAAACACGTTAGCCACACCACAATTGTTCCTGTTGAAAACAGCCCTGCAGTTCCGCAGCTTGCCTATCAGGTGCTGCCTGATAGCAGAAACCAAAACACCCAGCGTGTCACCGTGTCCTGGCTGGTGTTGTTCTTCACAGTTGCCATAGAAGCAACAAACGTCCCGCTGCCCCCTCTGTCCTTGGCAGCGTCCGAAAACCGCAACATCCTGCGTTGCTCTGAAGACTGGACTTATCTCAGAGTTCCCAGACAACTCTGCAGCACGTGTCTCCCGCTGCAGCAGATGGCTGGCCTTGAAGCCTGTAGCAATGACGAACTCCAGTGGAAAAATACTTCTTTGGGGTCCTCCCGCTGGCCTCCTTCTCCTTCTTCCGGAAAAGCACTCCTTGCCAGCTCCGCCCCCTCTGAACCTCCACTTGATTCCAGCACGTACAGTGGGAAACTTTAAACGTGCCTTTGGAAACCTTCGCCCCCCCCCGACCTGCTCAGCAGCACTCCTTGTGGCTAAAGCATCAGGGACAGGGGCTCCAGCCATCTTTAGGCTTTTGTATTCCTTCTCCAGGGCTCTGGCCTCCTGCTGAAGCTTCACAGCAAACGCAGCACATTTCCAAGCAGCCCTTAGTCCCTTTGCCCCCCTCTGGGGCCCACAGCCTTTCCCAGCTGTGCACCGGCTCTCACGTAGGTGATCAGCGCCATCTTGTCTTTCTGTTCTGAAGCAGCCATCTCCCAGCCCTTGCTTCCCGCCTCCAGCCTCACAAACACCCTGGAGCGCTGAACGGCCTCTGGCTTCCTGGCACCCAGAACAGTAGACTTCAGATCAGCAGCCAGGTTGCCCAACTTCTTAAAGTGAGCCTCCCACAGTCCTCCAAGACCTGGCAGCCTGCCATCCTCTTCCGTTCTCCCAAGGGGCCCCAAGCTGTACTCACAAAATCAGTTTCAGCTCCTCTGGCACTTCCTTCCGTGGAGAAACGATTTCTCAGCTGCTTTCCAGCTCCCAGCTGCTTCTTGCTTTTAGCTCTGCAGCTCTCCTTGCCTCTTAACACCAGGCAAAAAACAACCACCATCTCCTGCCGAACTTCAAACGCATTCCGGCACTTCAGTGACAGTTTTACAAGCGGTGATTAGTACCCATAACCTGTGGTTATTTACGATATTGGCGCGACTCCCGCTAATTGATTTATTGGTCCTCAATTAGCCATTGCAGCCCGGCACACTTCCCTGCGAGACTCTGCTCCGTCTCCAGCAGCTCTTCAGTCAGCTCCAGTCACGCCAGTAGCAGAGATAAGCACAGCGGTGATGAAACTGTCACGTCCTTTGGTTCAGCTTCCAGACAAACACACATAGACAGGTTCGTCTATTTACAGCTCTTTATTCCGACATTCCCCCAGGGATTCCCCCTGGGCTCCTGGCAGCCATTACCGGCTACGTCTTTCTCCCTCACCGGCCAGAGGGGAACAGAACAGAAACCACTCCCAGGCTCCTCCCAGCTTCCACAGCTGACGTCAGAATGTTGAGGCATCCTGGGAACTTCTTAACCAGTTAAGTTCCAACCTCAACAATTATTGTCAAAGGTAAAATAAAAGGCCCGTAGAATTGATTCAATTATTTGGCTAAAATGTTCTTCTTGCATGCTTTCTTCAAGCTTTCCTGACCAGTAAATGCAAACAATGGGCCTATTTATATGTAATACAGAATAATAATACCAGGAAATAGCATTAGGCAAATTTAACTATTTCACTTTTGTAAACTGGAGGTGCTGAGGTTTAAATATCAATCTGAATTGATTCTGTTTTGTCTAAAATGTATTATTATTGTTTCCATTGTTTACTCTTTTACATCTGAATATCTACCTCTCTCTGTCTGGGGAGTTGTGGTCATCCATTATTCGATGTCTATCCATTCGGTTCATGGTATTGTAATGTGCAGGAGTAGATCGGGTCCCTCGAGACCCCTGTTCCACATTCCTACTGAAGAAACAAAACCATCAATGTCATGAAGGCGGAAATGAGCAGTTCTCTTTAAAATGAGCCCTGTTAATGAAAATGTTAGCTGTAACCTTTAACATCCTTGACTCTGACAAAATCTGTTCAAAGCGGATAGGATTGGTTGCCTATGCATACATCTTATATAAAAATTGGCATGTACTGCCTTCTCGCTGAGGGAAAAAAATTGAAGAAGAAAAAATCAGACTCAAGGTAGGGAAGAGGTGGGGAATCTGTACCAGGAATCTTTTCACCCTCTCTGTCATGATCCACAAGCAATTCACTGCAATATTTAATTTTACTGCAGATCACTTAGCCAATGTCATCTAAAAACAAAATGTGAAATCTACATAATTAACATTCCATTTCAGACAAAAGTGTGCAAATTGGAAGTATTTATGCAAAATAACCATCATTTGCCAACCAAACACTTATTAAACCTGAAAACCTGGAGACTTATTAGTTATTGTCCATTAATTGACCATGGTTAAGGCAGGAAGGGAAGGAATGCGCAATCCTGTGGCTGGCTTCTGATCGCTTAGCCATGATTAAAAGTGCCTGCACCAGCACTAAGTGTTGTATTTTAATTATACAAAATATTATTTAGATGTTTTCCTTATGCTAGATATTTTTAAGAGGGGGACACAACACTCAGCTCTTCATATTATCTTTCTCTCCTTTAGCAAGGACAGGTGGTTAAGTGCCTGTCAGTTTAAACAATAACCACAGCCATCCCAAAATAAGGAAGCAATTTCTAAATACTCAGGGTACACACTGAGGAAGCATATCTGTCAATTAAAATAAAAATAAAATATGAAACAGCCCTGTAGGCATCCAAGACATTCAGAATAGAGATAAGGAAAAGCTAAACTAAGTCATCTCATTGTCAGAAGGGGGAATTTCCAGGTTCACAATGGACCACAAATAAGGAACTCATGTCTGCTGCTACCTTTTGGTGCGGGAGTCTCCCACTAAAGCTCTGACCAGATTTGCTTAGCAATAACAAGGTGGTTGCATTATGTGTCCTCAGATCATGGCTGATTACTAAGAATGGCTTAAGCCTTGAGCAGAAGCAGTCCTGTAAATTTGGATACTTTGTCACTTTTTCCTGATACCCTATAACACTAGCGTCCAGTTTCCCTATGTACAGGAAAAAATAAACTAACTCATTCCGATACTGTACTTCCTAATCTAGCTAAATATGGCTGTGAAATCTATAGTAAAAGAGGCAGGGTGCAGAAGTCTCTCCATATATTGACTTAGCTGCTGTATCACAGAAAGTTTTAGCGGGAAAGTTTCACACAGAATTTGGGGTGGTTTTGCTTGGAACAATGAAGATAATTGAAGTTCAGATACCCAGAAGAGACTCTTCCATCTACATCTCATAGACAAATCTCTCAGGGTTTCCCAAACTTAGGTCTCCAGCTGTTTTTCGACTTCAACTCCCATCATTCCTAGCTAGCAGGTCCAATGGTCAGTGATGATGGGAATTGTAGTCCAAAAATAGCTAGAGACACAAGTTTTGGAAACTCTGCTAATTATATGATACCTTTTTAAGGTGGTTTGGGACCTGAATTTGATTCAAAAGCAGGGCATAGGTAAGTCTAATAAATAATTAAGACTGCACTCTAGTTTCTTGTGTCCATTAACATTTAGTGTTGCTAGTATGATCTGCGGGGAATTAAGAATAAATTCTTTAACACCCAAACATTATTTTCTGTTGAATGTGACTGAATGTGATTCTGTTGAATGTGATTTTGCAAGCTTCCAGTTGCTGATATATAATTACAAGTCTCAGTAATTTATGCGTAACTGACTATTTGTACCTTTCACTATTTTTATTGCTGGGTAGAGACAGAAAAAAGTATCAGTTTCCATGTTGTGGTAGATTGATTTATACTAATAAAAAATGGTTGTGATCATGGTCCTCAATAAAGAACTTATTTTCTAGCTTGTATGTTCAATGAGCAGAAATCTTCCACCTTAACAATATCTAATATTCCATGACAGGCACAATGGATGCTAGGGTAGGAAAGGAAGTCTATCAAGATAACCAGCCACTGGTGGTTCTACAGGTTATTAATATTCCAACACAGGTTATTCTTTTGCAAATGAAATATTGTTATAAGCTTTCAAGAAAAAGTTACAATAATTTTATACATAACATAAAAAACTAGGCTTAAAAATGGATAAATAATAGAGGCTAATATCAATATGAAACTCCTAACTGCACTGTTGCTCTAAGCTGGAACAGACTTTGTCCTAAATCTATATTTTACATCAATGAGCTGAAGATTTTTACATAAACATAAGGTCTTTCTTTGCTGAACAGAATTCAAGTGGCATTTTTAATGCTAATATTGCAAAAGTCATACCATATCTAACAGCTGGGGGGAAATATTATTTCATCAATTTCATCGGGATATGAACCCATATAGGCAGTGTAGGATGGCAAATTAGTACAATACACAATCTTATAAAGCTCAATAGTTACTACATCAGTTGCTGGCGAGGGTGTTTACTTAGGAAAAAACACCACAGAGAGGTTTTGGTTTTGTTTTGCTTGGATTGCAGAGATATAAATGAAGGAGCAATCATTCTTGCTCTGAATGGAAAGAATTACACTGTATGACTAGTCATTTACAAAGATAAGTGACAAAACAAGAGGTAAATTATTAATAAGGTCCATTACTATATTATAAGCAAAAATATCTGTGTTACTACAGAGAAGCAATTGAATTTTCATATTCTCTCACCCATTATCTTGAGTTTAAAGGAATACGTAATTTTAGTATCTACATAATTTCATGTCATATTCAAACCAACCAACCAGCCAACAAACCCAAGCCTAACTCATTATAATAATTTACCTTTGTAGAGGAGGGACACTGGGAGACCATGATCTTGTCCTTCCTATACTGTCTCCACGGTGAGGGGACCCTGATCGAGAGCAGTGATTGGATGACATCACTTGTTCTGGCACTGATAGTGTTGAGCTTTGAAGATCTCGCCCATTATGTCGGTAATCTGGGAGCGGGAGGGAAGGTTGAGAGAGCTGAACTAACGGTACAGGTATGGTGACATTTCACTTTTTCTGTTTTGTTAGATTTGTACAGATGGCAGAAAAGTTGCACCCTGGAGAAAAGATGTCGCAATATATAATGCTGTCAAAATTTTTAAAATAATTACAGGTAGAATTTACACACCACTTTTCAAATTGCTCACAGTGCTTCACATGTGCTGCCAAAAGTAAAGACACTCATAAGGGCATAATGAAAGCCCTGCTGTATCAGACCAAAGGGACATCTAGTTCAACACCCTGTTTCACACAGTGGCCTACCAAGCACCCATGGGGAGCCCCGAAGCAGGACAAGGGTAATAGCACTCTCCTACTAATGTCCCCCAGTGAAAATATTCAGAGGTATGCTGCCTTTGTTCCTGGAATATCAGAAAAACCAGCGGCTGTTGATATTCTCCATTAATTTCTCTAAACCATTTTAATGACATCAAAGTTAGTGGCCATCATTACATCCTGTGGTAGAAAATTCCATAGTTTAAATATGCACTCTAAGAATAAATATTTCCCTTTGTCTGTCCTGAATCCCCCATCATTCAGGTTCATTGTATAACTCTGGATTCTAGTACTTTGAGAAAGGCAGAAAATCTTATCGCTATCCAACTTGTTTGCCCCATGCCCGTTACTTGCTCTTTTTCTAAACTAAACTAAACTAAGCGTAATACACTGTGGCTTTGTTGCAGTGCGCATGTAGTTGTCCATTTGCTAAGCAGAAACAGCCCCGGTCTGTATCTGGATGGGTGCCTACATGGGAGTGCAATGTGCTGCATAAATATTCTCCCTTTGGGGACGCGGGTGGCGCTGTGGGTAAAACCTCAGCGCCTAGGACTTGCCGATCGCATGGTCGGCGGTTCGAATCTCCGCGGCGGGGTGCGCTCCCGCTGCTCGGTCCCAGCGCCTGCCAACCTAGCAGTTCGAAAGCACCCCTAAGTGCAAGTAGATAAATAGGGACCGCTTACCAGCGGGAAGGTAAACGCCGTTTCCGTGTGCGGCTCTGGCTTGCCAGAGCAGCTTTGTCACGCTGGCCACGTGACCCGGAAGTGTCTGCAGACAGCGCTGGCTCCCGGCCTCTAGAGTGAGATGAGCGCACAACCCTAGAGTCTGGCAAGACTGGCCCGTACGGGCAGGGGTACCTTTACCTTTACCTTAAACTAAACTAAACTAAACTAAACTAAAACTCTATAAAATCTTTTTAGTTTTTCTTTTAGTTTTTTCTAAACTAAAATCTCTCAAAAGTTGTAAGAACTTGTTCTTGACCTTGCTTTTCCCAGCCTCCCTCCCATTCCTGCTCCTTGTGTGTCATAACTTTTTAGTTTGTAAATCTGAGAGTGGCCACCCTGGAAGACTTTTTGGCTAAAGGGTAGGGTGTAAATGCCTTAAATAAGCAAACAAATAAAATAACATTTATTATAGAGGACTTGCTCCAGCCCCTTGATTCTGCACCTTTCCCAACTCTACAATATCCTTGTTGAGATGTAGCAATCTCAGTTTTCCAAGTATGGTCACAATATAGACTCGAATAAAGGCATAACAATATTAGCAGTTTTATTTTTAAACCTTTTTATACGTTGCTCCCTAACTCGCCTTTTCACAGCTGCCACTCACTGTGTTGAGGTGTCAATTGTGCTATCCCCCATAATCCCAACGTCTCTTTCCTCATCAGTCACTGCCAGCTCAAACCCCATGTTTTGGGAATTTTTGTCCCAATGTGCTTCTCTTTACACTTTCAATGAACTACATTTGCTTTTTGAATGCCTATTCGCCAACTTTGCGAATATTCTTTTGGAGCTTTTTATAACCCCCTTTTGTTTTTATTACCCTGAATAATCTGGTACTGTCAGCAAATTTGGCAACCTCACTCCTCATCCCTAACTCCAGACCAAGCCCCAATTCAGATATTTGAGGGGTCCTGCTTTTTACACCATGATTCTGTTCAAAGATTTTCCATAGCCCTGCATTCTTATTGGCTCTCATTTCAACTCCATGTCAAACTTTTCTTAAAAACAAACAAAACCTTGTTCAGCCCACTGCTGACTTTTGCCCTGTTTTCTTGAGCCACAGTGACTCCCAAAAATATTCCCTAATGGAATTTCTATATGCATCTCCTCCACTTTTGCCAACAACATGTGGCTTTGGTGCTTATGTTCTGTCTGAGTTTTTAAATAATTTTCTCCTTTCCTCATTCTTTATCTTTTCCGCAGGCTCCCTTTGCATATTTTGTCCCTTCCTTAGCCACCATGACTTAGGCCTACTGGTCCTATAATTTCCCTATTACACTTGCTCTTCCCCCATATAGGTCTGCAGTCCTCAGCATATTTAAACACAGTTCTTCCTGTCCCTATAATTCTGAGTGGTTTTAATCCCAACCAAACTTTCACTTTTTAAATAAAAGCTGGGTTGTTCATGAACATTGTACAGTACTGTTAAAAGTTTAATTAACTCTGCAGTTGAAATGCCACTGACCATTCCATGACATCACAGAATTACCGCTAAGATGGGCGGCTAGATGACATATTCCTAGCCCCATACATCAGCCTTTGCCAATAGAGATTGTTCCAATAAAAGGTACTGTCTCACTTATTTTGAATCATTTAATTTCCTGTACATCAGTATCCACTATGACAATTAAACTAAACATTCAATAGTCAACATAAAAAATATGCGGGGGGGGGGATTCATGGAGGTTACAGTAAAGTATGAATTCAAAATTTCATTTATCAGGTTTAAAATAAAGTGATCCCTCACTTAGAAAATACTAATTTGTGGTATGTTACAGCTAATATGCTCATAATGCATTTTCACTCGTTCCATGGGGGAGCCCATTAGCGCTGCTAACACTTAGTATCTTAATTAAAAATCTGGAAGGCTGGGGGAGGTTGAAAATATGCCCATTCAATGTGCTGATTATATTATACAGGGAGCTATTACAGAGACAAGGGAAGACAGAAAAACCATGAGACAGCCTTAAGAGAGCTTCAGCCTGTAAAAATGCAACTTAATACATCTAAGGCATAAGAATCAGCAAAATTATTTGCAGGGCAGTAACCATATCCATTACCTTTAGCAGAAGGCACAGATTTACAGCAGTCTTACTAAATTTATAGGTTCTCAGTAGCTGTTAAGAATTGATTTTGGAAGCTGCCAGTCCAATGATACATTACAAACAAAAGCGCTTTAGGAGGGGGCAATTTGGAGCAGAAAAGTAGCAGGAAATACTGCTTCCCTTTTCCATATTGCCTCACTCAAGCCACTTCTCCTGCCATGGGACTGCAAACTGGAAATAAAGCTTTGAAGAGTGATTTGGAGTAGAGAAGCATCAGTCAGGCAAAGAGTCAAGCACTGTCTCTCCCTGCCACATGTAATTCTGCAAACCTGTCTGGGTCCCAAATGCTTCTGCTAAATCTGGGTACTCTAATGTAAGGTGGGTAAGGACCTGACACAGCTGCGGTGAATTAACATGGAAATAGCCCAGCAGACAAGCACTCACTTGTATAAGGCTCAATCTGGTGAAGCAATTGTTTCCTGCATAGCAAAAAATCCTGAACTATATTCCAACATTTTAAAGTAGACATGGGGGGGGGACATTTCAAAGCTCTATTATCATCTTGTTCACCTCCTTCTTTCACGTTTAATTTATGGCACTCCAAGGAAGGTCTACAGAGTCTCATCAACCATTTTGTCCAGGCATGGGCTCCGTGCATCAGCATTGGTGACCATATGCTTGAGATGGTAGACAATTTTGGTTATGGGTTCCACCATAACCAGCAACCTCTTCATCGACACTGAACTGGACAAGCATATTGGCAAGGCAGCCACGACAATGGCTCGTCTCTCCAAAAGAGTATGGGAGAATGTGATGCTAACAACCAATACCAAGATGAAGGTCTACAAGGATTACATGTTGAGCACACTGCTTTATTGAAGTGAGTCATGGACAACTTAAACCTGCCAGGAAGAACACCTCAATACCTTCCATGTGTGCTGCGTTAGGATGATTTGCAGAACAGAGCCCCAAACAAAGATGTGCTGTCCCAATCCCACATTCCCAGCATGTTCACACTCCTGTCTCAGTGATGTCTATGCTGGCTTGGTCATATTCACAGAATGGAAGATGGCAGGATCCCCAAGGACATACTCTATGGGGAAGGATCAATGATCATGGCCAATGATCACAAATAATGGAGCTGGAGTCTCCAACAACATTTGGATAACACAATATTGCCTACCCTTGCCTTGTGGCATGTGCCACCACTCTAGAAGTCAATCCATCACTTTTAAACCTCCCCTTTCCAAATAACATAGGCCTTTAAATCTCCCCCCCAAAAAAAATTACTGCCTTGAGGAATCCCAACAATAATTGGGACTACAGTGAGAAGGGGTATTGATCTCACTTCACCCCATGGCATGGTCCCCATGAAAAGTCACCCCTTCCCCAAAAAACAAAAAAACAACAACCCACCCCCAAATAGGACTGAGGAAAGGGAGACTGTGCCCTGCCCTATGCAGGTTCTAGGTTGCAGGGAACCTTTCAGATAACCAAGGCTATAATTAACACAGACAACACCAATGTCCAATTCCAGGTACACAGTGGTTCTAATCAGGAATGAGGCAAGCTGAGTGGCAGTCAGAGGTCAAAGTAAGCAGAAGATCAGGTGCAAGACATAGTGCTGTCAACAAGCTATTGTTCCAGCAGCTCTACCAGCCTTGCATGGAGGCTTCAAAGCCAGAGCTGTCAGAACCGCACCCTGGGCCCAGCTGCAGCCTCTTAGAGGTTTCTGCAGAGAGTCCTCCTCATGAGGAGGGCTGCTAATGAATAGCCCTTTACTCACTAGGAGTCCCCTTCTGCAACAAAACACTCCTGACTGTGAGGGTGTCAGTCTGCCTCTTGAAGCTCTGCCATTCCCAGGGCTTGTTCTGTCTCTGCTTCAGATGCTGAGCTCCCTCTCTGTAGAGAGGGATTCTTGCCAGTTTCCCTTGAGAGTCCTGGCTCGTCCTCAATTGCTGTTCTGGGCTATTCCTAAGTATCTGGGGGCTCCAAATCATATTTCGCCAGATCATTCTTGGAGGAGGAGTCATCTGGTGAGGGCAAGGCAGACTGCCCACCCATCTACAGAAGGCTATTTAGATTCCAGAGGTCTGGAAGCAAGCTGAGAAGTTCCAGCACAGAAAGAAGGAACAACGAGGAAACAAATGTTTGTCAGCATCTCTACAAAGAAACTTGCTATCTTCAAAGTGCTCACCTGGCACAAAGACTATTGAACTGAATGTGGTTTGCACTGATTGTATTTCTTAGCAAATATTACATAAAGAAATATTCTAACTAGATGGGTACAAACTAAATGGGTATTTCAAACAAATAAACTATAAAAAAATTAACACGTACCAATCAGTACTGTGTAAAATCCCTAAACTACTTCCTAAAATCCTAAACTATTTCCTAGAAGAGCTCTCACCTCTAAGCTTTCGTGCGTATTTTCTTCTGACCTGTCATCTTCTGGACTGAATGTCATACACACATTTCCTCCTTATGGATGATAATGCATATCAAAATATGGCACAGGTATTTGACACTAACAGGGTAAAAGCTGTCCAGTTTCCCATTTCATGACAATATGCTACTGTTAGTGAGAATGAATTGCAGATATGGTCACTGTACTACATGAACCCAATTTGAGACTGATTCTGGAACTAGCACTCTGTTTTATGACAAAAAGGAACGATGAATAGGTACTTCCCATTCTTTTAATATGATGATTTAGAGACCATTTGTGCAGTGTGCCTAGGTCCTATAAACTGATCTGCTTTAAACATGCTACTAAAATCCAGAATGGATGTAACATCTGCTTACTAAATATGCTCTAAAGGAACTGCTAACAATAAAATGTTCTTATGCCAAATAACTACATCTCTCTACAATGTACTTAGCAAAGCTCAGGCAAAAGTGAAGCTAACAAAATCCCAATAGGGGATGACAGCAGTTATGATGAGCTGCCTTCAACCACTGTGGTTTGATAGCATATTTAGTTTGTAGCTGTACTTGCTGCTGGGGCTCCTGAATAAGACAGCAGAGTTGTGCCTTCCTATATTTCAAAGTGTTAAACTATTTACATGCCAGAAGAGATGGGGAGGGGACAGAAAAAGCTGCTTGAAGTAAAACATACCATGTAATACCTACACTCCTTAGAAGGAATTACCATTTCCACTTGTTCAACACTTCTGTTGGGATTCCAGATCCCACTGGCATGCCAAGTTACCTCATGGCATGTCTAAACAAGCAGGGAGGTTTTTAATTAAAACACAACAATGAAAGAGTAAGCCAATCAACTTATCATGACAAATTATAAATATAAACTTTTTCAGTGTTAAAATCTTATAAATTTGTTACCTGACACTACTCCTATTCCATCATCGCAATCATAGTCTGAGACTTCACTATCACTTATTCGTTTGGACCCTGCCAAAAGAAAAAGAGGATCATAGGATTAATTATAGCCGTTCTATTAAATGAGTGCTACATTTATTAAGGTTTGCTGATCATTGTTAGCAAGGCTCAATAGCTTTCCATGTATGCTTTTGTCTCCTATAAAACAAATTATAGCTGTGAAAAGCAGAGAAAAGCAGTATTTTAAATGGTAATGGAGTGATCACAATACTTACCAAAATAACTAGAGCTTCATCAGCAAAAGCTGGCCCAAAGTCTATTATTAGACCTTAACAGTAGGTCAAGTAAGAAAAAATTGAGACTCTGGTTTAATTTTAAATATGCTTACCCACTTCTCGGTTTCCTACACAACAGCATGCAGATATTGTTCAACAGTTTACAACCACATTTAACCTATTTGTCAACAATAAAATAATCCTATTGGACAGGAGAGGTCACTTTAGCCCTCAATGAGTATACAAATAAGATATGAAAGGACTAAATCATAGAGCTGAACAAGCTAGTAAAGATAGTCGAACTGATGATATTGAACTTGTAGCTTTCATATACAGTAAAGTAGTTTAACTCCCTCAGCTGCTGTGTATTTTCCAAATGTAGTGAAATTAAGCAACAGGTAGCACAGAATAATCTCTGCTTCTTCCATTTTTGCAAGGAGCAAGGGTACTGTTATTCACTGTACAATGAAACACAACATGACCTCAATAAACACGTCCTTCCACTTAAATACCTTGCCTTTGTTTTGACAGCACAACTGTTCTGTATTCAGTGTACAAATAGAGCTCCATACTTTGGGTATATCATAAAAGCTATTGGAAATAGAAAACACAAGGAACGGGCAACCAATCTTATATGATTGATATTCTGAGGCTGAATTCATGAAATGAACGTGCTGCATTCGAATTGGTATGTACCTCAGCTGATGAATTATACAACATGCTATAGGATCCACATTAAGATTAAGAAATACTTAAGCATTCATAGAACAGAAACAAGAGCTAAAATGTCTGAAGAACGAACATCCTACTTATAATTTCTCAAAGCACAAAAGGAAGACAGACTACAGAACCAGCATTCTACAGTTATTTGTACTAATTTTAAAGCAACCCTTTTGTAAGCCCCTAAAAAGAAAATTAATGGCTAGCAAAAACAAACAAAATCAAAACAATTTGATTTTCTTCTGTGACTGAAGATAAAAGTAGAAAATGCAATGTAGTCTGTCATTAGCAAGACTTTTGGATTGGTTTTACCTCAAAGTTTGAGCTAGAGAACACTGACCGAAAGATCTTGGCATCAAATTAGTGGTATCAAATTACTGGTATCAGCTTGTAGAAATTGAACACTGAAATACTATGAATGGATGGTGCAATTGAGAAACCATATAAACTCAAGTCTCAGAAGTATTGTTGCTGGGCCTTATTTTTGTTCAACATTGTCGTTAATGAGTTGCATTAACGGAGAGTTTGCACATAAAGTGTGCAGAGGGCACAGAGTTGGAAAAGACGACAACTATTTTTAAAAGTAGAATTAAGATCCACTAAAAGTAAACGGAAAACCTAGCTGTAAAGGAAAAGGGTAAGGTCCAACATAATGTTAGCACAAGAAGCTTGAAAATTGACATCATTGTGCAAGCAGTAGCACACCAACTTATCTCTCGCTAGGAATAATAATAATAATAATAATAATAATAATAGTGGTTGCACAACATCATTTGCAAGCATCAAAAACCCATTAGAATTGGCTCTTGTGCTGTGCTAACAACAAGGTTCTGATGAACAGACTAGCTGCTGTGTGAGTGGACTGCCACAATTGTATTTTTTACATTGACAGTGCCAAATAAAGAATGAGAATGCTAAGAATAGTGATTTTTAGAAGAAAAATACTGGTTGATTAACCAGTCATGAATCAACTTTTATGCAAAGGATCTGGGCTGTATATGAAATAATACTGCTAAAAATTAATGATACCAGCTGCTGTACAAGATTCAACCTGTTTCATTTTTGTGCTATTTGCCTTATGACAACTTACTTACTTTTGCTTACTATGAGGATTTGTGAAGGAAGATATTCTAGGGGACAAACTCTTCTCTCTCTCACCCTTTAGTGGGCAAGAAACAAATGAAGCTGAGAAAAATTGAGAAATGCTCTGTATTCCCATCACTTAGCAGCCTGCCCACCCAACCTTATTTCTCTTGGTAAGGTCAGCCTTATGTTGTAGTGGTGGTACTTTTAACAGGAACCATGGATGCATTACCTTTGTCAATTATGTGAATTAAACCTGGTTATGGTATTCCAGTTTTGTTCTAACCAATAAAATACAATATCACGTTTCTCGTGAATTCCAAAATACTGAAGTTAATTTTTCGCTTTTACTTCAGCACTTCATTGTCAAAACCTTTTAATATGGGATGGTATTCAACTAGATTTTGCTCAGAGTAGACCCATTGAAATTAATGGATATCAGTAAGTTGGGTCCATTAATTTCAGCAAGTCTGCTCTAAGTAAAACATAGTTGAATATCACCGATGGCTGTCTCATCTCACAAACTGTATACCAGATTCAACAAATCTACTAACATTATTATATACACCTTCACATGGTGACAAAACAAATAAACAGTCCAGAAAAACATTGGATTTTTTCAGCAAATGCTTATAACACCAAGCAACTAAAATTAGAAATAACGCAAGGGCAAGGGCCTATCTCTGAAAAGCAGAATAAGAAACCCACAGCAGTTGAACTGGTGCACAACAAGCAGCAGAAGCATTTTATCAACAAAATAAATGGTGTATATGAAGCAAGCAATACACAGCATGCTCATAATTTACCTGAATTATATGAATAAATGCCTTTATCTGGAAAAAATGTTAAAATGAAGTGATATCAGAAACAAATACACGAGGACTTGACATGCAACAGGCATGTGTATCATCTGGCAACTTAGTTTTGGATAACCGTTTTAGGTGGAACAGCTAGTTAAATCTTTACACTACAATCCTATGCATGTTTTTCTTAGATTGAAATCTCACTGTGTTCAACGGGGCTTACACTGCATTAAGTGTATTTAGAACTGCAGCCTAAGAGCTTGTTTGTTTTTTAAATCCATACAAACCAGAATACAATAGTTCCTGCAAACTGAACCACAAACGCTATTCCAGCAACTATTATGATATTATTTTCAACATATTCTAACGAACAATGTAATCCTATGCTCAAGCTACACCACCAAGCAGGGTTAGCGTTAGGACAGCCACAAAATTCCTCATAGTGGAAAACCACAACGATGACAGTTTAAGAGACTTATGCCTCTTATACAGGACCGTAGCTAGGGGATGGTGAGGTGGGCCCCCGCCAGGAACACAGGTGATGGAGGGGCGGCGGCGCAAAATCGGCTACAAAATATGTCCATAAATATAAATATTGATTATTGCCTCATAAGAAATGGTTTTAAATAGGGGGTGAATTGAATGGGGGGGGGTTGGAGGAGAGGTGGAAAGAAGAGCTAATTTGTCCGTGGCTAGGGGGCGCAATCTGGGCGTTTCTGCCAGGGGTGCAAGATCACCTAGCTACGGTTCTGCTCTTATGACACCAAAAACACATCAAGATCAGTCCTGGGCAAGTCCCCCTGGAGAGGACGTAACAAAGTTAGGATCCTACAACTGAAAGGACTCTGTTTCCAATCAATACCCGCCTTATCTCTGAAGGCAGGAGGAACCTAAGAAGGCCCTTGTTGTTTTGAAAGTTTATACTAGAGCAGACCTCAAGGTACTCAATCTCAAGACATCTAGCACTTTGAAGTTGAAGCCCAACACCTTGAATCATTCTTAGAAATGAGCTGAAAACCAATGCAGCAGCCTACAGAAATGCTGGTAATGTTTTCCATAGGCCTAGTCCCAACCAGCAATCTATTTGCTTTCTTTTAAAGCAACTGAAGTTCTCTAACAGAGCTGTCCCACATGAAATTTATTGGCAATAAGCTACACTTGTTACTTTCCTGATAGTCATATAGCTGTCACAGGAATAGGACCCTTAAAAGAAAGCCTCTCCTCCTTGCAGAGGGGAGGAGTTGTGAGCGGGAGCCATTTCCCAAGTTGGCAGGGGGTGTTTCGGCCCCTGCCCAGTCATCCCGGCTGCCACGCCACACCCCCAGGTAGCCAACCAACCAGGTGGAGGCTTGGGGACGGGGTTTCACTGCTCAAACGTGGCCGGGTGTGGCCATCGCCTACCCCTCCACTTTATGGGTATTCCGGTAAAGGGATCCGGTGGTTGTGGATCCTGTCCGACGCCCTTGCTAGTGGCTAGGGCCATGGCATGACCCCCGGTGACATCAGGGGGAGCTTTCAGTTGTATTTGCATCAACAGGCTCCTCCCACTGGTAGTTAACCCTTGATGGACTCACCCCTCCCTGAGGGGGTGGACTCACTTGCTGTGGTTTACCAAAGCCTAAGCCAATACCTCTCACATGCTGTAATCAATAAAGTTGTGGCCTTTTTTAGCCCATTAACCTTATATACTGTGTCCATGTGTCTTTTTTATCCTCAAGCGGGTGGCGGGTCCTTGAATCACAACAGAAAGGTTGCAAAGCCTTTAGATATGTTGATTTCAGAGTCCATTCCCCAGCTGACACAGTTCATTAAAACCTGTGGACATCTGTCTCTGCTTCTTTGACCATGAGCAGAGAGGGGGCTTCCCCTTTCCCTATTCATCCTACCTATCGTCACAGTTTTGTTTTGTTTTTACTTTAACGGCCCTCTAACATTCTTTCTGATTTACTGTTCAAATCCTATGTATATGCTGTGCATGTTTTCTCAAAAGTTCCCCAAATTCAATGTGATTTCCTCCCAAATAAGTGTGCATAGGATTGCAGCCTCAAATAATTTATCCGTGCATTACAATACAAATTATAGTCATATCACCTGCGCAGAAACCATTCAAACATGCAAATTAACAAAACATGCCCAAAACACCAATTTCATATAAGAGAAAAAATATGTGGACATATGAAGAAGAAATAATGTATATCATTCTTTTCCTTTGGCCAAAGATCTAGCTAGTTTCCAACAGTGGTCAGCCAGATGTTTCTAGGAACATCCCTTCCAACTCTACAATTCTATGATTTCATATGAAACCCTCCCCAGTTTTTTGCAAGCAACTGCTATTTTGTTGCTGCTGCCTTGTAACATGGGGTCCCATCTCAATACCATGTCTAATACTTTAGCAACTCCAACATTTTGAAACTACCTATCCACTGAGGTGCACCTCATCTCAAAATTATACTTTTAGGAGGAAGATGTGCCTTGTTCATCAGGCTTTGGGAGGTGAAGTGTAATCTGTCTCAGGTTAGTTTTGTACTGAACTCCTTGAAGTTGCAAGTTTTCTTGTTGTTTTTTAGGTTGTTTTTTTGCCTTTTCTACACATGCAACAGAATGATGTAGTCAATGAACTGTAAAGTCCTGAGATGGTAGAATAGAACATATCAAATATGCAGGTGACGGTCACATTTTATTGGTCCCCATGCACACAAAAAAGGGGGGGACTTGTAGACAGTCAAGAGTAATTTTTGCATAGAACTTTGTTCATATGGGGGCAGATTCAAAAATGTGACTCATACCCCTGCAGTCTGAGGTAGTATAATTCACTGTATCACTTGAGGATTACACCTCCTCATTCTGCTCAATTTGTGTGAGGAAATCACATATAGGAGGAGAAGTCTCATTTAGGAAAGTTGCATTAGAGGTAGATTTACTGTCTGTTTAGTAATCAAATTTCAGCATATCATGATTTGAAGCATTCTATTCTCCTGCAGATGTTTGTGCATAAACCCTCAAATTATAAATATTCACCATTATGAAGTGCATATTAGCTGTTGCAAAGGCTAATGAATGATATACGAAATGCATTATATCAACATTTTTCATACATGATTGTATGGCTATGAGAAGGAAAAGAAACCAGAGGAGCCAAGCATGATGTTTCTTAATATAGGTATGACTCTCCATCGATAAAGTTCAGTAAAAATACTGAAGTCAAGAAAAGATCAATATTACATTTTTCATTGTATGCATTTCTCACCTAGAAGAAATGCATTTTATTCCACATAGAAATGAATATGCTTTTAATAGAACAGAAAACCTACTTTGCAACCTTCGCGTGGGACTCTCTCCATGAAGCTGTCGGCGTGGCAAATACGGTGAAGGGTGGGGAAGTGGCAATGAGGAGACATCATGTGTCTGAAGTTTGTACCAATGAGGCTCATCATCCAGCAGTGCTGTTTCTAATTCAATTAGAATCTAAAAAGAGAATAAAACATGTCACAGTGCAAAGCACCACTTGCACCATAAATGTTTCATAAAGTCTAAATTGCGTTGTAGTCACATATTTCCAGCATATCGTGAAAATTTAATGGCCACTTTAGTTTCATAACAAATCTCTGTATTAGAAATCAATACGAGGAACAATGCAGTAAAAATGTGTTTAGGTCAGAAAGAGTAAATGTGACTAAAAGTGCAACCTATCCTCAAATTACCCCAACTAGATGAGGATTACTGATGTTGCCAAAAATTGTATTTATCTAGCTCAAAAACTGAACTTCATTACAAATTGAGCACTATATCCTCAAGAAATTCTTCTCTGGCTTAGAAAGTAAATTGAGTTTCTGGTTAGATTACTGCAATGCATTATATGTAGAGCTGACTCTGAAGATGGCTTGGGAACTTCAGCTGGTGTAGAATTTGGCAGCCAGATTGCTCGCTGGGGCATGATGGTTTGAGCATATTACGCCAATTCTGGCCTGACTGCACTGGCTGCCAATTAGTTTCCGGTGCCAATTCAAAATGCTGGTTTTGACCTATAAAGCCTTAAATGGCTCTTAAGCCTTAAACGCAATACCTCAAGGACCGTCCCTCCCCATACAAACCAACCTGGACCCTGCAATCATAATTAAAAACAAGTACATTTTACATTAAATAATATAATACTACCCATGACAATGTAACACAGGACCACAGAACAGAGCAGCAGTTCACAGGAATGCAGAACGGGAGAAGAAATATCAGTGGCTGTTTATGTCAACAAACCCACAGGATTACTCTGCCCAACAAAAATTACATTAAATATATTTTTGATTCCCTCCCCCCCCCCAATAACTCTTAATAGTCTACTTAAAATGCTTTGAATACCTCTCCTAAAAATTCACTTTCTTCCTCACGAACACGTGCTTGGTCCCAAAGAGTAATTTCCAACATTCGTTCTCGAAATTCTCTCCGATGAACTGGAGAATAAATGAATGTTTGGTTCCATTTGGGCTCCAATGTTTTCTTTACTGTTTTTGTTCTTCTTTTGTTCTTATCACTGTAATTGAGAAGTATAAATTAAGTGTTGCTATTCCATTGAATATGTGATTTATAAAACAAATGGCTGCCAGAAGAAAATGACAAAGGCTTGCTTGAGACTTGCCTTCAGAAACGTCTTTGCAAATATATACAGCAAATACAAATGAATGCTCACAAGCCCCCAATACTTTTCTATATGTAGGCATGTTCCTTATAATGTCTGAAGTAATGCTTTTTAGGCTGAAATCCTTTGAGTGTTCAATGGGGCTTACCCCCAGTTAGTGGGTTCTAGCCAAATAAATGAGAGTAAAGCCACTGAAATTAATGTACCTATGTTAGTCGTGCCTATTAATTTCATTGGGACTACTCTGAGTATGACTAACACTTAATGTAACCCAGTGTGCAGGGTAGCCCTCCAGATGTTTTCAGATTCCAAATCCCAGTATGTCCAAACAGCATAGTCAATGGTCAAAGGTGATGGAAGTTGAGTCCAGTAATATCTGGAGGGCAGCACATTGGCTGCCGTAGTGTGTAGGACTGTATATGACTGTGCTGTTAATTTAATACTGCATAGGATTCTAGTGTTAGCTTCAGATTTCAGGAACAGGCCAGTATCCAAATAGCTTTTTTACACATATCTAATGACATTATTTTACTTGTTTCTTGAAACAGCAGGCTCAGGTGACATACTAGAAACAATTAACATTCCAGTTCCAAAAATGGTTTGCCATTTGGCACTTGAGAGTGCTTTTTGAGAAATCCAGTGCTTCCTTAGGTATGCAAAACTAGTGTGCAGTCCTTTGGGTCCAATCCTTGGTCTAGTTCAGGGGTCTGCAACCCGCAGCTCTGGAGCCGCATGTGGCTCTTTTACACCTTTGCCGCGGCTCCGGGGCAGATACTAGCGAGGGGAGGAGGCGCATTGTGCGCCCTGACACTCCCCACTGTGGCAGGCGCTGTACTGGCTGTGACGTCGCATGGGGGCAGTGCGTGCGTTAGTCACGCACCGTCCCGACGTCACCTTCCCACCCGCTGTCAGATTGGAGGGCAGTGGCGCGCATGCTTTAAATGTCGCAATGGTTTTGTGGCTCCCAGGTTTTTTTTTCTTCAGAAACGGGTCCAAGTGGCTCTTTTTGTCTTAAAGGTTGCAGACCCCTGGTCTAGTTGTTTACATAATGAACATGTTCATCTTCATCACCTTAATCTCTTTATTTGTAGGCTAATTTTCCATAGAATTGTGCCCAAAGTGGCTTACAACATTACTGCAGAGTAAACTTTCACGCGTATTCCAAATAAAATGCAGTTAGTCTTTAAGAAGCCACAGAACACTCTTTTAGTATTACTGTAAAAGATGAACACGGTTCTTCCCTACTGAAATTGCTAATACACCTATGTATAAACTTCTGCTAAGTTTATTTTTAAAACAGCGTCTCAAGACAAGATTTATTATCACCGGCACAACTTAATCTAAGTTGATAAAAGAACTGGCTCTCTGGATCTTACCCAATGACAGAATCAAACAACTTACTTCAGAGTAGCTCTCTTATTATCACTAAACTCCTTTGGAATATGTGGATTTTTTAATGTAGCCTTAATGACTTTATTTTAGACACTAAAGATTTGTTTACTTTGGAGAATTGAACTAGGTTATATTGGACAAGTTTCTCCTGTATAATTTGTTTAGTCAGAACTTCACAGCCTCACCTAATTAAATGCTTGAGTTGTTTAATTGCACTTTATTTCTAGCAGGTTATTTTTCCATATAAAAGAGATTTATTTTTGCCTACTAAGCTTATTCTTCCGGGGGTGGGGGAGGCAGGGGAAAGACTGCTTCACTGTTAGAAGAAAACAAATTCAATAGAACAAGCTACTTTTACTTTTGAACTTGAAAGGAAACACCCAGAGTAATTAAAGGAAAACATCTACACTATTTTGCCTTAAAAGAAAAGCAACAACTGTGAAAATTATAAAAAGGAAACATACGGCACTATAATTTCAAAGTATGTACATTCTGGCACTTTCTTAATAATTAATAATAAACAAATTGCATTTCTTCTATACATACATAGTATATGTATATGATACACCTACAGATGGTAAATTGCTTGGAAAAAATGCTTTCTGATAAAGATATCATAGCAGTGCCTTTTAACTGGCCCACTTTTAAAATATATTGGGGGGGATTATATGAACACTGACAGCATATTGCAAACTAGTATCAAAATTACCACAAGATTCAAAAACAAAATGTCATAATTTTGTCTCATGTTTAAAATACCTAATTTGGATAGTTATAAGAATTCATAGTTGGTTGAAAATTGCACGTTCCAAAAAATATGGATAGTTCTAAAAAACTGAAATCACATACAGCAAAGCAAAGCAGGAAAACATCTAAGTGACACTGTGCTCTTCCATTTTTTCCATTTGCAAACACATCTCTGCTTAGCCACTAGAATGATTCTCCCTCTCCTCCCACACTGCATGCTGTTCAGGGGGTCATTCTGACTCTCTCCAGATACAATTTCAGGGTATGTGGGGAGAAGACAGGTGGGGAAAACCCTACTGAACAAGCAGAAGTTCTTACACAGGGCTTTCAGTGGCAGGGCTGGTTAGATTAATCCCTACTACAGTTAATGTAGTTATACAAAGTTATTTTTTTATTAATCACTGACCATAATAAAGAGGTTGATCAACTGATGGTTATATAAATAGGGAATTACTAAGATTTGGCATCTCTCCCCCTCCTGCCACAATTTATTTCTCTTGATCAAGTTTCTCTTGGGCTTTAGCAAAAAGCACTGCCAAATCCAAGGTGTTCCAGCTCTTGCAGCGGGTTCAAGGCCAATGGGACTCCACTTGCTCCCCACTGCTTCAGCTCTGGACCCATAACAAAGATCGTCAAGCATGCCATCTGCTCAAACTTCTTCGATGACTTCAAGGTCAGATAGTAGACATGGTCTTGTGCTTGCTGAAGAAAAACAAGCAGTAGGCCACTTGCATTCATTCTGCCACTCACATTTCTAACTGCACTAGGAGGGCAGTGTGCATGTGCAGCCTTTGCCAATCTAGAAGGCCTGCAGGACAGCGTGGGGTTGTTCTGAATCATCATATTTTTCTGCCACTAAAGACCCTGTAAAATAGCTCTGTAACTCTCAACATCCACTCACAAATTCTCATTAAGGGTTATGGAAATATATAAGATTGTTCATTGGGTTAACCAGGATTACTGCAAGCTACCACCATAGTCAACATTCCTTTCTCAAATGTCTGAGAAAAGCATAGTTATTATGACTTAGATAAACAATGGTAATCTGAATAGGCACATCATTCTGTGTGATATTATTTATCTTCTCCTGCTTAAAAGTTTCAAAATTTATTGACCACCATTAATAAGACCATCGTTTATTTTTCCCTGCAAAGAAGCTAACCCTTACAACTTCCTCAAATATTTGATCAGGTGTGCTCCTTGTCTGGCATTTCTCCTCTCACAAAAATACAGTAACTGAGATATTATGACCAATACTAGTTACCAAACATTACTATTTTTTCACAGAAATTTAATTCAAAGTAGTTAAGCCTTTTTTTTCCATCCTACCTTCTGTCAGGAAGAAAGTAAATCTTAACATAGGGATTCCTCGGCCTCCCATCTTCCCTTGAAGGAAGATCCTTTGCACCCAATATTGTGACTATCAACTGGTGACCAACCTTGTCATACCACAGTTTTATCTGTAAAGAGAAATTATGCATTAGTCAATCTACTTCTTTCATAATACAGTTATCCTTAAAAGTAAATGTAACTTTTAGACTTCCACTGTATCTGTTTTACTATTACAGTATAGGTAACTTCATGGCATTCTAATTTGTAGCCTTAAGGCCCAAAATGATAAATGTGATGAAACTTAATTTTGCATGTATAATCTGTTTAGCACTATATTACATATGTAAAAGTATGCAAAATTGTTTACTTTTGTTATGTATATGTTGTATATGTGCATATGTGGAGCAACAGATATCCTAACATTTTTATATGCGATATGAATTCATGAAAGACTACTTCAGATTTTGATTAGTATATGTAGAAAGACCATGAAATAAAGCTGTGTACATTACAGACCTGCTCACATTTCAGTAATTGACCTGTTAAGGCATTTTATATTCAGTTTACAGAAGTCTTCTACATGCAAGTATATGGTAACCAACTTACTACTTCAACTCTGCACTGTACTTAAAGGTAAAATGGCATTCACTCAGCCTTTTTTATTTCAATTTTTATAAAACAAATTCATCTGCTAGATTTGGAATAGCTTACAATTCCTGAAAAAACGTGACCAATAGAATGGGGAGATGACAGAACTGGGGTATTTAAGACTGAGGCTATCATATGGTGATCCATGACTATTATTATCACATGTCATTTGCCATTAGCTTTATTTTGATGGAAGCAGGAACTTTTCCATAGCGCTGAGCTGTGGCCCACACTCTTTGCAAAGAAAGACTGGCCACCTTGTCAGGGCCATGCCATTTCGTATTTACTCAAAACAATGCTAATTGACTTAGATATACCTTTAAATGTAGCAATAATTTTAGGAAGTTATAATCGACTAAGAGCGTTTACATTTGTAGAAAATCAAGAAAATGCTGTATTGGTTTCTTGATTTCTATTTCAATGCAGATAGGATATCCATACTGCTTAGATGTAGTCTGATTTGAACGTTATTGTCAATACTGGCTAGACAATATGCAGAAGGGAGAAATCTAATGATGTCCACCCGATTGAGCAAGAGACTTCTCATTACACAATGGGACTTCCTATTCTTGCTAACAAAATCTGCTTCAGGGTTTGTCTCAATTCTCTGGAGCAGATTTTTTAGGTGAGGGGTACAGTCGGAGGAAAGGGAGGGGAAGTGCCATTGAGCAAGTGGAAATCTACTCATGCAACACTAGATATCACCCATTATTTTTGAATATTCTTTTCCTTTGATCGCGTTTTTAGTTAGGGAGGAGGGGCTTGCAGGAGCTGAACTGGAACAGTTGTCTGAATACATCTTGATTAAGATACATCTTAGCATTCCCCCCTACTGTCCGCCCAGCACAAATTAACAAAAACTCTGCTATGAAAATGTTTGCAAAAACATGCCCTTAATTTTATTCTGAAATAATAATTTTGCATTTTAGTGACATAATAAATTCTGAGAACATTATGAGGCTTAATGCTAGCCAAAGAATTGAGAACGCATTAAGATTTGCATGTAGACTTGACTCTCTGTCTCCCATTAAATTCTCTGTGGCCTGTTTCATGTAGTTATCTTTTAAAATAATAAGTGCTTTCCTTTCTAAACAATAACAAAAACTATAATTCATGTAACTCTGAACTTTCCATTTTTATATTTTCTTAAGCAGTGAAAGAGCATGAAAAGAATAAGCTTATACAGCATTTATACAAATGATGAGCATTTCCACAAAAATATTTTATAACAAAAGCAGGTAATGTTCTCTATACAAAAAATATAAATAAAATGGTAAGCATGCAGCAAAGCAAGATAAGCATTATGACATTCTTACAACCTACAGTTGGGTTAATCTACAGTACCTTAAGGGATTCCTAATGAAAAAAGGCAAACAACTTGTACCCAAATAAGATCAGAATATAGTCATCCCTAGTAGCCATGGGAAATTGTTTTGTAATCATTATTGTTTTTAATATTTCAACTAATGTGTCAAAACGCAAGCAAGGTACACATTCCTTAGACAAGGTACAAATTTATTTGCCCATCTTCTGCTCAGGGAACTACTGTCATTTGGAAAATGCAAAAAAGGAAATTTTGTAATGAAAATGTGTGATTTAAAGAGACACCAACCTTGATACAATGAGGCCAAACATCCAAAGCATAAGATCAACTAATTCTAGTTCAATGTATGTATTTATGCAACACACAGTTATTATCATTGCTGAAATCTGTGCTTGTTTAATTAGATATAGAAAAAAAGTAAAACTAAAAACTAGTTGTCTCTTTAAATTTTAGTTTAGTACAGTATTCTAATCACCCATGCAGTTTCAAGCTGCTCACAAGACAATATGAAATTTGTTAATATGGTTTGAAGCAACACATTAAAATTAAAATGGGTAAATGGATCAAACTGTGACATTTCCCTACTATGCATTTTCCAAGTCAAACAAAACGTAGGAGAGGGGAACACAACTTTAGTTTCTGTCAGGCAGATGAAGCCTTTACCTGAACCCTAGGAACAAAAGGCGCTGTTCTTCTACTAAGGCTTTGGCTCTGGTAAGCAAAATTAAAGAAAAAGCAATAAAACAAAACCAAAAAGACAACACGCTGGAAACTAAAAGACCAAAAGTAAAACAAGGACACACAACTTTAATAAAACACTGCTTTACACCACAAACATGTTTATCTAATGAGAACTGTTAAATATGCAGTGCATAAATTAAATCTGCAATTGCATTATTAAAAAACTAAAATTCATGTATGTTCCTCCACCAATCATACTTTCGACTGAATAAGAAATAACACAACCTGTTTCACATAGTGAGTGGCTTGCGTTAAAAGCTGCCTTATTTAGAAGAGGGAGACATTTTTCTGTGTGCAATGTCGGTTATAATAAGTTAAGACAGTGGTGGGAACCTGTGTTCCCTCCAGATGTTGTTGGACTCTCATCAGCCACTGGCAGCATAGCTAGCAGTCAGGGATACAGCAACATCTGGTGGATCACAGGTTCCCCACCATTAACTTAAGGTATAAAAAACTAAGGTTACAATCCTATACACACTCATCTGGGAGTAATTCCCATTGGACCAATGGGACTTAGTTCTGAGTAGACATGCTCAGGATCGCACTATAAGAAACACTGAGCAGAATTCAACATGCCACAATTACAAACATTCCACCTGCCCCAGCATATCTGCTTTCCAGACATAATGACTCCCCCTCCTCCCCGATGCTGTTCTGGGGGTTCTCTCAACCCCCCAAGGCAATTTCAGGGGCCGCAGGAGGGCGGGATGAGGGGAAGCCCTCTTACACAAGTAGAAGCTCTTGCACAGGACTCGTTAGGCAAATCCGCCCATAATAACCAGTAAAAAATGATGCATCTGAGACATAGATGCAATTCATTAGCAGATCTAAGACCATATATTTCATAATTTCTCATCAACATTTTCTTTATGGTATCAGTCAATGGTAATAGGGGGGGAAACTGTGTTTGTTGTGAGCACTTAGCATTTCTAAAATAAAGCTATACTACTCCAAGCTTATCATAATTAGTGGCAAAGCATAGCTAAGGTTAAGATTTTCAATGTCTGAAGAAGTAACATAAGACTACTCCTGAGATTATACAGAATGCATTTTCTCTAGCACTGAGCAACCACAGATTGCATGGATTTTAAAACCAGGGTTTCCCTGCATCTTGAGCTTAAAAATAAACCAATGCTAAAGTGGAAAGTGGCAATATAGATATCTGGCACAAAATGGTTGAAAAGAAAATCATACATTAGTGGTAAATATAGCTGTGAACATATACTCTTAGAAAAGATGCTGCATTTCATAGGAGAGAGCATAACAATATTTAAATTTTCTTTTAAAATAAAGTTTACAAGTTGAGTAAGCATTGTGGGGACAAACAGAAAAGCAAGCACTGTTAGGGTGCTTCCAGGCGAGTTTACAGCAGAATCAGTGCTACTCATGCACACTTTTTTGCACCATCCACACAACATTATCATGCTCAAAATGCCAGTCTGTACTTTTTATTGGTTAAATACAGATTTACCCATCTGATACAAAATCTAATGACTAAAAATAACCTGTTATACACCCCAGTCATTGCTGGTATAGCTAGCCCATTTTTAATGGGCAGTTTGTCACCTGTATGGCAATGTTCTGGTGTGTGGCCTCTAACACCACATCCTTACTTTCATTTGCTTCTTGCCTCAGCAACAGCTGGCCATTTTGTTTACAGGTGACCAAAGGATATCAGGAGCATGTGAACCTCTATGTGTTATGTCAAAAGAATGGACCCCTCTGCTGTTGTAGCATTTTCCCCACTTACCATCCACAGCGTTGGGAGGCAGTCAAGCCAATATTTAGCTGCTTAACCACAAGTGGGGGCAGTGAGAGTCAATGGTTGCATGTTTCACAGGCAAAATGACCCTAGCATCTCCCAGTAAAATGTTGTGGGTCAGTACAACTGGGAAATGTTTGATTTTACTTATAGCATTGCTATTTTGCTCTTCAATTTCCAAAATCCCTAGAATGCCCTACAATAAAAGTGTAAAAGGCAATACAGAGTGCATATATTATGGGGAATAGAATGGAATGGAATGGAATGGAATGGAATAAGCTGGATGGTTAATGTGCAGAATCAGCAATTATGCTCATTCACTGGGCCCCTGAAGAGTGTGCACGTAATCTGTCTGCAAGGAGGGAATTCCACACATTTCCAAGTCAATGTACACCTATCAACTGGCCCATAGTGGTTCTGGTCCTTACACTCCAAGGAAGGGCTTCTTTCGGAGCAGCCCGTGACTTGCTGCCTCCTTCATGGCAGGTGGGCATGTCTCTTCCCACAATGAGGCACTACTTGTGCAGCCTTGGGCTGCAGCAACTGACATTCATCTGTACTTAAAGACTAGATGGTAAACTGGAAACAACCAGGCACCTCAAAGCGATTTGCTCAACAAGACCCAAACAGGGGCCACTTTCCTGCTATCTCTGCTACAGAGTAGGCTTGACAGTGGTCTCGATCCTGCAGCAGCCAGTATTGTGGCTATGCTGTTGCTGCCCCCACAAGCTCTCCCAGGTGTGGGTGAGGGGCAGGGGCTGGATATGAGAGGCTCTCTCTGGTTCTTTTGTGGGGGTGGAGGGGAGGCTTTGGGGAGGCGCTATATTCAGAATAGCAATGAATATAATGGTTCAGAAGTCATAGTGTTTACCCTCAAGGGCTCACCATGTAGAAAGAAGATTCCACCTAAACATTAGGAAGAACTTCCTGACAGTAAGAGCTGTTCGACAGTGGAATTTGCTGCCAAGGAGTGTGGTGGAGTCTCCTTCTTTGGAGGTCTTTAAGCAGAGGCTTGACAACCATATGTCAGGAGTGCTCTGATGGTGTTTCCTGCTTGGCAGGGGTTGGACTCGATGGCCCTTGTGGTCTATTCCAACTCTATGATTCTATGTACACAGGAAAAAAGGATCTGAACAACCCATCTGCAAGATAACACCCCCATGGGAAGCATCCTTATTCCCAAAATAATATCAGGACTGTACTTCTAACTCAATCAAATGCTTCCTAATTCATCTCCTTTTGTCCTCTGCCTGACCAGAAAAACTGGTTTCAATTTAAGCTTCTTTCTTGGATGCAGATGATGATGGTTATATGTTAATTTGTATACTGCACTTTATCTGAAGATCACAGGGCGGTTCACAACACTCAAGATACATTGCAGATCTCGCTAATAAAGGTTGTTTTGCTACACTTGCTAATTAGTTGTCCTTCAAAATGTGCTATATCAACATCAAAAAGAAGAATCAGCTTATATTGAGTACGGTATATTTGAGGAATGTTAGTCTATTTACATAGCCTGTGTGTATGGATAAACCCCAAGTAATTTAGTTGTACTAACAGAGAAACAAACATGCTTTGAACTGGTTTAAAGTTTCATTACACTCAAGAGTGCATAAATGTTGTGAAGTAAATAATAAAATACATGACCAAATGGATTTTACATTTTGTTGTAAAATGCATACGCTGGTAAATAAACTGTACAAATGTATCCTGGATAGGATTAGCTCTAGTCCTAATCTGAGCCCCATCTGAATTCTTTTTGACTTCATGATAAGGCAAATATTTTTCGTAAGTATTGCTTATGCTAGCAAACCAGCAATACATTTCTGTCCGTTTCTTGGAGATCACTATATTGCTAGTAGCTCTTCTGACATTACAGAGCAGTTATATAATTTTAAATCATTATGAATATTTTCTTCTTTACTGATTGCTTTTCCTCACACTTCTTCAAAGATTCAAAATGGACCAATGCATCCAATAAATAAATAAATAAATAAATAAATAAGAATAAGTATTTGAATCTAATCAACTAATTAAACAATATAATCCCTTCAAACCACAATAATCATCACCACAACACCAGCATCTCGAGATTAATCCTGGTCACTGAAAGTTTGCCTTTTGAAAAATGTCATGAAGAAATTCCACAATTATGGACAGGATTTCACATAATAGTACAGAATTGGCTCAGTTTTAGGAGGTTATGACAGTAGAACAGAGTGCAGAATTGCTCTATTAAGTGTGTATATAGCTGAAGCAATGTCAGCTTTTAAAAACAAAACCAGAGGTGTACATTTCTTCCAGGAGACTACAGTAATGTGCTTCCAGATAAGCACTTCACAGTTAGGAAGTCATCACATACTGTGTTCACTACAATTTCTGTACAGTTTTAAAAGTCAGTGCCAAGTGGAACAATAGTCTAATCCCCAAGGTTACAGAAAGCTGCCTTATCAGACTGAATTAGTGAAAAGCACACTTTGCCAATATTGTAGTTTCAAGTATCATGAGATATCCAGGAGTATGCAAAGCAATAATACAAGCCCAGATAATAAGAAATCAAAATATGAGTATTTCTATCATTCCTGTGTTTCTGGCTTTAGTTTCTATTAAGCTTATCTACATGAACCCCCGCCCCGCTCCTTATTCCTCAGATTTTTGATGACTGCCAATGGTTGACAAAGTTGTTTTCACCACTTTTTATGTCAGTCATTATAGATGAACAGCATATGTGTCAAAGAACCACTTGGTGCTAAACGATTGTCTATCCACCATCTGTGTTTTCAGGTTGAGCCTTCATAACAGAATTGCTCCACACATGTGTTGGTAATTTAACTGTTACTGTTATTTAAAACTTTGTTTATACATCTCCCTTGCAAGGTTCTTAATGATGGCCTACAGCAAGTTTTTGCCTGAACCACAAGGAAGGAAGAGGGAATCCAGTGACTCAGTTGTACTCGAGGGAACAGTGCACAGTTCATTTGTGGTTCCTGAATACAACTGCAGCATATGGGTCAGATGAAAAAGAATGCAAAGTTGTGAGTCATCTAAATATTGACTTCACTTCAATATTATGCAAGATTTCCCCAGCTGAACAGTAGGATGAGCAAGATGGACTCCTGCAGTACTTCATACGGCAAATTCCTCTGAAGAGATGAGCAACCACCCACGGCAACCTTTTGAGACATTTCTACTAGGGCCGACTCAAACTAATCATTTAATGAAAACCACTTAGCAGGTCTCGACATCAAGATGTTGATATTTAAATATCAACACTGTTAAAAGGTATCAAAAAGTCTGAGTGGACAACATCAACATCAGGGCAAAAATCCTAGACCAAGGCCACAATTAATTTCAGTCTGCGGTGCACCCAAACCTACTGCAGAAGACAAACCAACAGTATCAGTAAGGCCACTTCCCCAGAATAAAAACTGATTCCAATAGGTTTTATTCAGTGTGAGCTAGAGGCGCGCCAAAGGCACTTTAGAATATTCTTTGGTATAGAACAGGGACTTGGGAGGAATGAAAGGTTTTACAAAACTGTGCTTGCAATGCATTTTTTGCTACCCCTGTTGCCTGTTCATATGGTCCTAACAGCAGAGGTTACTCTTTCCATTGTTGGATCCTGGCAGAAGTTATATTTTGCTCCGCTGGGTGTTGTTTTATTCAATATTTCTGTCATAAGACATCAGAATGAGGGTAGGAATTACTACCTTCTGTTCCTGCACTCACTCTGATTTGGCTTCATGACGATGCCATGCAGAATCTGGACTTGCTCTGAAATGCTGTAGATTCCATATGAAACTCAGTCAAGTTAATGATTTTATACCACTTCAGCTCATTTCAAATAGATATTGCAGAAAAAATCCTCCTGGATTTCTTCTTTCTTCTTGAAAAGGCTAGTCTTTATAAAACACAGGGCATGATCAGCCAAAACTAAGTATTGGGAGTATTATGCATTTGTTTCAATTTCTCCTGATGAAATCAATAGGTCTTAGAAGTGTTTAAATAAAGCTGGTTGGAACATACACTTTTTATCTTTCCAAAAACATATTCTGTCAGATGGATTATAATGAATTAAAGACAATTTGTGGGACACACATGCTAAGAGAAACTTAAAAACACACATCAAGTTTGGTCTTTAGTGACCAAATTAATGGCTGTTTGAAGAAAAAGTGTTAGGGACACCTGAAAATCACTACACTGCCTAATGGGTGGGATACTTTCACTATGAAATGCTCTTGCACTGGCAGCCCAAAAGATACAACAACATAGCAAATTAACATTGGCTGTAGTGACAGATGGTACTACAGCTAGTGGAACCCCTGTAACAGGGGTAGGGAACTTTTTCAACCCAGCAGGCCAAGATCGTATCACCACAAGCCCCACAGGCCAAGTCTGCCAGGAGTGCATGGCCATCCACCTGTCCATTACATGACATCATAAACACATCAGGAGACAAAAATGCTACTGAAACAGCTTAGAAATGCTGTGCAGGCAAAGTGCAGGCCACACCTTTACCTGACTCCCACCTGATGTCACACAGGATGACATAACAGGGCAGGTGGGTGTGGCTGGGGGGGGAGAGAGAATGGCCGCAAAAATCTCAGTGGAATTGGGGGCATGATGAAGGAAAAGCAAAGTTTAGTCCAGATACTATGCTCAGGTGAAGGTCTGGTGAGAGCCCCAGCAATGACAGGATGTTATACCTGCATAAAAGGTGATACAAAACACTCACACTAAAGTCAGTGTGGAGGCCCAGATGACTCTCCTACCTCCTCTCCCACTGTCCTCAAAGTCACAATGGGTAAATAGGATTTTAAGTGAATCAGCAGCAACTCATGGCACACCAGCTGATCACCCCCCAGCTAGGGATCACAGTACACATATCAAGAAGCATGGAGTAGTGTTATATTAAATTTTCCACGTTTAGAAAATTATAAGCACAGAAGGGGAAACCTAGTGATGGAACACATTGTACAAAAATGGGATCACTTTTAACAAGAAGTCAGCAGCCAGACAAAACATATATCGTAAATGAATCACACTTAGTTAACAGGTACTAAACGTATCAAAATAATTTAGAGATAAGCGCCAACAAGGAACCTCAGCCCTACTTTTGTAAACAGTACTAAAAAGACAAGGCACCCAACAGTGATAAGCAAGAGAAGGAGGATCACTAGTGAGAGAAACTATGCAAAACAGCATGACTTCTACACACCCTCCATCCATTATTTTCCTTGCGAAGAAACACATGAGTGTGTGCACTCAAATATCCATAACTCACCCATTTTGGGAATTGAAATACAACTATCCTTCAAAATCTGAACTTTTCCAAAATTTGTATTGTACTTCTCTAACCAACATGTACAAAAATGCATATGTTAGGTAAAGGTGTGCAGAACATGCATACATTAGTTAAAATAAACAAAAATGCATTATTTGGGGGGAAGTTCCTTTAAAAATCTATTTATTAGCCAAAACTGGATAAAAAATGTGTGTACAGGAGAAAATCACACTAAGATGCTGCCAAATTTTCATGAGGATTTAAAAAAATCAATGATAACAAATTGCTGCAGAGAGACTTGAATTTAAGACTGAAAAATGAGAAACCAAGAGAAACAAACATTTGCAGATTTGTCTATCCCAGGGGATAAAAATGGACGTGAACAATAGTCTACTGTTTCCTAATGTAGGGTAAGTGCAGCTTCTCCCTCCAGAGAATTAGGTATTGTTCATGTTTTTACAATCTGATTCCTATGTCTATTGAGGACTACAATCCATCATGTCAGACCAAAGGGAAAAGTAAGCTATCCTACTACAAGCTACTTCCAAGAGAAATCAGAGTCCTTGTTCTCGTTCTGTCACAGTAAAACTCTAGTGGTTTCAATATAAGCAGTGTGGGAAAACACATGGGAAATTATTACTATTATTATTATTGAACAATAAAATCTCAGTCCCTGCCAAAGTTTCCCATTCTTCAGCAAATCCCAATGTTATTTGTCAGAACAAGTTCCCAGTGGACTGCACATCCTGCTGCCAAAGAAATTGCCTTCCAATTTCCCTATATTTTGTGTATTCTCTTGACATAAATACATTCTGTATTCATTCTCTACCTACTACCACTTAAACATCAGCTCTTCTGAAATTGCTGATCATCATGCTCACACTTTTCAAACTAATATCACTCATTAATATTATGAATTGTTTTACTGGAAGCACTGGTGTAGATTTCAAATGTACACACTTTTGAAAATCATTTTCGCGCTTCCAAGGAAAAAGAATAGGTTCACAGTCGCCAAAATGCTTTGTTCTCTGTGTGAAATCTTGTGCCACAGTGATAATTAGTAGAATGAATATGATCAAGAACTAGTGGATAGATTCTCAGACTAGCTCAGGAAGGGGTTGTGGAAGCTTGTGCTTCAGTTCTTTCAAATTATTTAAGACATGAATAATTTTTCAGTCCCATACATGGAACTCTACATTTTCCTTGAATATGTTTTATAGAATCTGTTATGAATAGCTGTAGCCAACGGTGCACATTCATGATTTACATATGGAAATGAAAAATATAATTCTACAAACTGAAAATATTAGATATAAATATCCTGAATACAGGAGGAGATTGCAATTACAGGCAACTCCGATTTTGAATATATTTGATGCATGCACAACTGTGCACCATGTTCAGCACCAGAAGAGGGTGGAACAGGGCCAGGAACAAAACAGGGTGGGGTGGCCTTACGCGTGCTCCACCAATGCACACAATGACTTGGAACATAACCCCCGCGTAAATGGGGGTTGCCTGTAATTCATGTTGAGAAATAGCTGAATAAAAGAATTAAGAGTAGTAACAACTTCAGTATATAGTTACCTGGCATTTTCCATTAACAATACTTTATTACAAGCAACAAAGTAAATAAAAACAAACTGAACAAATGTTTACATACTGAAAGTTGTCCAGATAAGAACTGTGGAACATCCCTCAACATGCCTGGACTCATGGGAGAAGTGACTGAAATAGAAGGCCGGTCCATTTTTTGAGATTCAAACGAACTAGAACCTGAAAGTATAATTTATTTTACTTTATTAAACATATTCTGATTATATAAACATTAAGAGAAGGATCATTTGAACAGAATACACAGTGTGTTGAAAAGATAACAGATAATCTTAAAACTTGATTTAATCTCTAAATATGAACATGATGAACAAAGCAATAGGTATAATTTAGCCAAAGCTAAGCACTTAAAGATCCATTATATTAATGGAAACTTAAACATATGCTTGAATCATTGGGATTGGATCGAAGTCAAATGCTCTGTATCTTGAGGACTGCAGCTCAATTGCTATCACCTATATTAAAAACACTGCAAAACAAGAGGGTTTGGCAGGATAAAGTCTCCTCAAATAAATTGTTTGCTTGTTATATTATTTTTAGAGTAAGTCAAGGAAATAAAATTTTCATCTTGAAAAAAATATTTTTGGTTACAAGCTTTATTTCTCCAGTAAGAAGATGCTATAGGGGTCTTAAAATCATTATGGTTTTTACATCCAACAAAAAATTAATGGCTGATACAATTAATTATGGGTTGTATCCAATGTTGTACAACTGGAATGTTGTACATGCCTCCAGATGGTCAGGGGGACGAAACGAGCGTTGTGGGCTATATCTTCCGGGGCTGGAGTGGGAGGGAATTCAATCCAAATGGTGTGGAAGAATCTGCCCTATTTGGGATGATTCCCCCAACCAACACTAAAGTGAAGAAGAAAACAGCATCTCAATCTTACACAGCTGTGCAGATGAATCTGCCAAAACTTAAGGTTTTGAGCTGTCACTCCGACGTTGCTGTTGGCATGCTCTATTCTTGATACCTGGCATATACCAAAACATTAATAAGATCCGTAAAGGCCAAATATTCAATCACTTTAAAATATTTGTATGGTGTAGTATTTTCTCTAAAATATAAAAATACTGATTTTAAATATTGAACATAATGAAATGCATTTTATTTAATAAGGCTGCAGCACACAGCATTAACAAAAAAGCAGGAAATTGAAGTTAGGATTGACGTCAATCCTATTTTTACCCACTAGGTTGTTCTTCCCTTTTTAATAAAGAGAAGAGTGAATTTATAAAAGAATGCCAACCCTAGCATTAGATTTCCTGACTTCTGATAGTTTATTATTGAAGAATGATAGAAAACATAGATAAGACACATAGAAGAATGATACCTATACAGATACAGACAAAGAGGCAAAATTTAGAATGAACACAAACATCTTTTCAATTTCCAGCTTGCGTTCAATCCAGAAAAATGAAACTTACTGGACTCCAACTGTGCATGCGTACTGTCAGGTATTCTGGGAATATCTCTGCAATTATGAAAAACAAATCATGTTTATACTTTATCTATGTCCTATGGGGTTACTTAGCACAAAACAATATGGAACTTGAAGATAGAATATTACACTGCAAAATCACAGAAAATATACTGTTGCTTTTTCTATAAATATATAAATATTTCCATAGATGTACAGATGTAGTTGTAAGTGTGATATAGTTGTATAACATAAAAACTAACAAGAGTATCTTGGAAAGTTATTTATTTATTTATTTATTGTCTGCCCTTCACAAGCAGATGCCATGGTAAACTACAATAATTTAAAATTCAAAACAGTCAAAATGAATTACAGTCACAAGAATAGTGTACAACTGATGAACATGTCAACAAAACATGTCAACAAAACGCACTGAAAGTGATCCAAGCAAACCATCTAAGTTGGATATTTTCTAACAATGGCATCCAAATCAGATCAGAAGTGAGAAGCATTTTTTGTTCCGGTAAACCAAACCACCTCTCACCTCTTCAGCTCTCTCTACAGCCATATGGAATGATACACACACACACACACACACACACACACACACACAAAATGTGCACAAATTCTATTCATTTCAATAAGACGCAACTCTGCTTAGATTTTATTTATTGACTTAGTTCCATAAAGAATTACATCTAGAGTTATTTAGCTTTTGAATGTGACTCCATAGCTCTGCAATTTGAAGGGTCTGGTTTACATGTAACAACAAGAAACTATGGTTTCATTAACAGAACAAGCTTATAAAAGATTCTTGCCTACATCTTTCCAATCCCCTCTGGTGAACAAAGCAGGATATCAAACCATGGTTTCCAGTCTGCTTGGGGCTTTCAGAATGCTCCCTGTTGTTGCCACTGCCACCAGACCAGGGGAAGGGGAAGAAGGCGGGATGGTGGCCCAGGCAGATGGCGCAAGCGAGCAGACTGGTGGAGCAGGCAGGCAGGCAGTTCAGGCCAACCTTCCTACACTCCCACTATTGTAATTGTTGTTGTTGCTACCACTGTTGTGGGGAAGGGAATGAAGAGGATAAAGACTTTTGTCCTTCCCTGTTGTTGAAGAAGAAGAGTTTGGATTTGATATCCCGCCTTTCACTCCCTTTAAGGAGTCTCAAAGCGGCTAACATTCTCCTTTCCCTTCCTCTCCCACAACAAACACTCTGTGAGGTGAGTGGGGCTGAGAGACGTGTGACTGGCCCGAGGTCACCCAGCAGCTGCATGTGAAGGAGCGGAGACGCGAACCCGGTTCCCCAGATTACGAGACTACCACTCTTAACCACTACACCACACTTCCCTTTATTTCCCTCCTCCTACCAATGGTAGAAGGACAGGGGGTTGGGGGAGCTGTGAGGAGATGAGGAGCAAGGTATAAAAGAAAGGGAGGTGGTTGGCAATGGGCTGGTGTGGTGGCAGGAAATGGCTGCTGGTAGGCAGTCTCAGCAAGCAACACAAGCTCTAATCTATAGTTTTAGGCTTACAAATGAATCAAACGAGGGACTATTTGCTTTTTAAACTTAAACCAAAAGGGGGAATTTGGGTTTGAATTCCAAGAGCTTATTCTTAGGAAAATCATTAAACTCATCTGTGAGTTTAAACTCATGTGGGAATAACTAGTGGGATGAGAAATTGATTTTATTTATTTGTTTAAAATGTATAGTTCATTTTTATACTATTAAACTATCCTCAGAGTGACTAAAAAAACCAAACAATTAGATACTCTAAAACTAATAATACAAAACTAGAGCCGCCATTCAGAATAAATACCGACAGAGTCACATGGAGATTAAAAGCCATTGATGTTCATTAAAAGTTTGGGTAAACAGGACAGACTTAGCATAGTACTGGAATGATTATGATACAGTAATGTCATCAGACCAGACTTCTCTGGATACCAAATTCCAAAACTGTGAACCGTCACAGAGGCCCTCTCTCCAAAAACCATCTGCATAGCCTCCAAAGATGGAGAAATATGGCCTTAGAAGATTTTGTTAATCAGAAGTCATGTTTGTGTGGAACATGAAGGGCTTCAATCTCAGTCAAAAGCAGCACTTTCAACTCTGCCCAGAAATAACTTGAAAACTAATGCAGATCTTTCAATATTGGCAAGATATGATAAATTCTAGTTAAATAAATCTGGCAGATAACTTTTGAACTAGCTGATATTTCCAAGCACTTCAAGAATAGCCCCTTATAGAACAGACTGTAGTAATCAAGAAAGGTACCAAAACAAGGAGGAGGAGGCAAGCTGATTCATTATGGAACATTCATATGTACAGAAACAAAGCTGTGAAATTCAGTTTGGAGCCTAATTTTGTAACCCCTGTGTATATTTTAAACAATTCATGAAGGGAACCTGTACTTACCCAATTGGCCTTGAAACTACAAGTTCCACTTGTGGCTCTGGTTTGGATTCTAGAATGATGTTGTACACTTCTTCAAAGGTGGCTCCTTGTAAAAGCCTTCCATTCCATTCTAACACTTCATCACCTGCAATGGTAGCCATAAGAGTTTGTTTCAGAAGGAAAACTTGACTGTAGGTTGTGTTCTTGCTGAATTGCTCACGTTTGACTCTTTTTTAATCTAGAAAAGGTTTTTTAAAGTTATGTATCAGCCCTAACATTAACTAATAATACAGAAATATAATTCAACCCAAATATGAATTCCTTCTAAGAGAATATATTATTCTACAGGGAAATGTCTGTGAAGAAACACAGTTTTCCTATTGATGTAAATTAACAGAATAGCCTCAAAATAGAACAGCTGCTCCATTGGTTCCCTTCGTATTGTTCACCTTCTCTTATATTCTACAGAATAATCCAACTGAATTTGAAGGCATCCATTTCTAGATTTTTCAAAAATGAACACACTAAGATAATAAGTCATCTGCATGTTAAACAGAGATGTAACAATCCTGTACCTGTGGGTGAGACCATCAAGTTTGGAGCATAGTTTTAGCAAGTTCCACTTTAGGTTGAGAACTAGAAACAATATGTATGCTATCTTCAAACAAAGGAAAAACTCTAACTGGGTCCCCTTAACAAAAGAGCGGGAATCCCTGGCATATGACTTGCATGGTCTATATATGAGGTACTTTCAATCTGTTTTAGTATTTTAACTTTTGTAATAAAAAAGGGTTGTTAAAGTAGAGTTGTAATGTTTTCTTGATTTTATTGCTTTATCTTTTGTAAACCACTATGAGGGTTGTTGTTTTTTAACAATCAAGCAGTATGTAAATTTTATGAAATTAATTAAATAAATAATATGACATCCCTGGGGGAAAGAAAGCAACAGAATAGAAATTGGTATAAATTAACATAATAAAAATGTAAGTAAGCTATGCCACAGAAGCAGAATAACTCAAAAGAATGGATAATCTCAGCTCTTCCAAAGGAATATGAGGTTTGATTTTTTTAAACAAATGTTTAAAATACAACCACAACTTTTAACCCTCAAATAAAATATAAGAATTAGAATAGATGAAGAGATTAACAGTGTTCTCAACAGCATGGAAGTAAATCACTGCATTTAAATCACACAATGCACCAAAAAGCAATCATTATTGACACTGTCCAGTTACATAATTCAGCTGAATGTTCCTCTCATACCTGGCCTAAGGTGTCCCACTGTATCAGCTAAACTTCCTTTTTTTACTTTGGTGATAAATGCACATAGCCGACCTGATTCAGTCATTTTTCCTCCTACAACCTGTTTGGAAGAAAGAGTGGGGGTGGGGGACACAGCAATTATTCATTCACTCAATTTCTAGCCCATTCTTCCTCTCAAATGACCCCTGCAAAGCAAAACACTTTTATAAAAAATTTAACGCATTTTAAAAATCTGAAAAAACATTAAAACAATCAAATATATTCACTGCTAAGAATTTCAAGAAATAACTCCAAGTGCCCTAACTCACAACCCTCTAAGTTCTTCTAAAAACACACTATGGTCAATTGTATAGAATTGTATAGAATGTCACTAAAGGGAACCAACAGGTTACAGCCCACCTTCTTTCTCCTAATAAAGGTAATCAAAAGGCTGTTTGGTGCTAAAACTGAGTCTGAAACCAGACCTATTTCCTCCAGGCGCCTGTCCGCAGCTGACTGGCTCCTACACTCTTGATAACCCAGGAAAGGCTGCACCCTGACTCTTGAAAGACAGTGGGCATAACTGCCTTAAAGAGTAGGAAGGAACTCTTCAGGCCCGACGGAGTGCACCTCACAACTATGGGTAACAAGCAATGGTTGGCATGGCCTTTTGGAATGGCTGTCAGACTATGAGGGGCCTTTTCAGGTGTAAGTAGTCTTGGCGGCAAGACTGCGATTTTGTGGTCTCAGGTGGCGGTTTCAGGCCTTGGGCGGAATCCTTTAGTCTATCTTCCCTAAATGGGGGGGGGGGTTGAAGCAGTGGCCCACGCCCCCCCTCCCCGCAGTGGCGATCCCAGGGTTCCCTGTTAAAGGGGTTGTTTTGAGGGGAGTCATTGGCCATACGCCGATAGGTTGTCAGTGGTTTCCCCTGCGTTGCAGCAAAATGGGGGGCGGCCTCTCTGCTTAAACATACGGTTTCCATAGTCAGCCCAATCCCCACACATTTTGGATAACCCTGATGCTCCCCATATCCCGGCTGGGGACTGAGAGGGATAAATGCCCAATGCCTAAGCCAAGTTCTCCCTACATCTGAATTTTTAATAAAGTTGTGGCCAATTTTAATCCCATAACACGTTGTCATGAGTCATTATTCCACTAGAGGTTGGGGGGGTGTCTCCGCCTGTCCACACAAAGAGTGAGGTGTTATATCTATCACCTCCTACTTGATTTTGCCAGCCATGATGAGTAGGGATCAAGAGGGCACATAGTTAGCCTCACTGCTGCAAGTGTCCTGTCCATTTTCTCAAGCAGCAACAACTGAATCTGACCCCACAAGCTATAATAAGATATGGACCTCCAATAGATCTGCACAAATTATGGCATCCAGTCTGATATAGATCCAAGTGATTTTGCCCTCAAATTGCTTTGCATATGGCACACAGCAAGCTATTGACTGAACTATTGTTAATAATACCAGATACCATAGTCATGCAACCCGATTTCATTGAAATTGATGTTGCCCAAGATTTTAGTAATGTATGAAAAGGTAACATGTCTGTAAAATGTAGGTTTCTTGCATCAGTACTATACCTTTAACCACTAGGATTCAACTGATAAATATATTTAAAAGCTCAGTTACCAACCTTCAATCCAAGCATTGCTCCAGAATCTCTAGGCACACTTCCATCTTTTAGTCGCTTGTTTAACAAAATCCGACCAATTAAACGGTCTCCATCTTTGGATGGTTGCCAGGTTACAGGATGCTATAGTAATATAGTTAACAGAGAGGGAAATCAATAGAATTCAGTCTCTGAAAAAGTCTCAGTATCAACTTCATTCCCATTTGCCAGTTTTAAGCATTGTGAAATGGCTATGATTACACCACTACTGGCTTTATATTTATATGTAAAGAATTGGAACTGATAACAACCTATTAGGTCATCCAGTTACTCCTTAAACATTTTACATGATTTAATTCCAAATGTGTCTACACCAAAGTTCTACTCTAAAGGAATTTATCAATTAAGACAGAACATTATGGATTAATCATCATGTTATTACTGTTCTAGATGTCACATTCCTTTTGTATCTATTCAAAATATTATATTTAAGCTACAGTATGGATTATGGATTAAATCTTAATTAAAAAGGTTGAATTAAAATTTAATTCAACTGAGATAGTCCAAAAGTGTTTCATTACATTTCTTTTATTTTATATTTTTGCTATACTGTATTTAACAGCCTAAATCTAGGCATCCTTACCTGAAATAATTCCCATCATAATTTTAGCAAAACTTGCTTCCAACTGCAGGTACCTAAGTTCACAGTTTAGTATCAATTTAAGTTTAAGAAATGCCCAGTAATTTCATTATTAAATACTTCATTTACCATACACTCTTTCCTTTATATTGTACGGTAACTTAAAATATATATTTTAGCACCTTTGGTTTTTGTAATCATAGCAATTTTTCACAGCTGTGCATCAGTTTCATGCCCTCACACATGCAGAAATCAGCATGCACAAAAATTATCCCTCATTAAATTTAATAACACTAAAAAGCCTCAAATAAAAAGTGAAAACAACAACCAAAAACACAAAGCAGATGGCAAGGTCAAATACTACCCCATGATGCACAAAAATGACATGGCAACAAAACAAATGAACAAACATGACACTGAAAGGGAAAAAAGAAAAACAACTTTTCTGTGTAAACTTATGTAATTTTGTCCCCACCCATTTTTTCCAACCTGGGAATTGAACTATTAATTTAATTTCAGCCCCAGGGGCATTTAGCAGTAATCAAACATGCCAATCCAGAGGAGAGCTCATTTTTTAAAATCACTTTTCTGGTTTAAGGTGATGATCACCAAATACTATTGTGTGACCATAAAAGTGATGTTTATTTTTAGTGCCTGAATAATGTTTTCTCCTTATGCTTCAAGATGTAGAAACAAGAGAGCAATCCAATGTTTGTGGTTTTGTTTTTCTTTTCTGCACCTGAAGAAATGTTAGATTAGACCTGCCTTATTATTACTGATCTGGTTTAATGAGTGACAGAGAGCAAACAAAGACCAAATGAGCAGATTAAAATGCAGGCACCACAAAGCCAGTACCTTTTCACTATGGCTATGCTCCTCATTTAGAGTCGTGCTACTACAGGTGTCTACCCCAGAGTCTTTAATCTGAGGCTCAGACCATTCCAAGTCCTCTTCCAAAGAGTGGCCACCAAAATACACCATTTTCTTTTGTCTTTCAGATAAGGTGTTAGAGTCCGACAAAACTGCCTGCTCACTAGTTTTTCTTTTTCCCCTTTGACTGTCCCCTACAGGTGTGGGATAAAAAGGATACAAAAAAGAAAACATGCAGAGATGTAAATAAAACAAAGGAAACATGAAATGGTAAAGGAAACTGAATGGTAAGGCTCCACATGTCTCACCAAAGACATTGGGGATGCCTCACTGCTATGCCAAGACGTATGGTCCCAGTTGTAATCCATGTCTCCTGTGAGGATCAGACAGACAAGATAGTGCAGTAACGGAAAAGTGAAAGAAAGGACAGACAGATATAATAGACTTTGCATTTGTGTATCATCCTGCCTTTAGAGGTTTTGACTCACTAGCGTATTTTCTAAAAAAAAGCAGAAATTCCAAAAGAATGAAGCATATAAAGTGTGGAAGACAGTGAGTGAGAGTGTGCTTGCACATTATCTAGAATGGCATGTCAACGTGAAAGATTTGGTGTTTCTAACATCACTTTACATTCCAAATATCACAAACGTGTATGAGAATATTAGAACCATTATGAACGGGGGGCGGGGGGAGGATGACGACTAAGGGCTGATATCATAGAACATTGTAAGTTTTCCATTTATTTCAAAAGGGCTTACGCCTAGGTGTATGTGCTTAGGATGAGGATATTTGGCTGTGCTCTTAGATCATTAAATTGGAAATAAGCTCCACTGAAATCGCTGGGATGTAGACAGTAGAATGAAACAGGCTGCTGCCAATATAGGTTCATGACACAATTGGTTAGCACAATGCTTATTTATTTTATTTATATTAGTGACAAACCAATACAGCAATGCAGCTGTATTAGGGCAGAACACTGGATTTTCTGCCATATACGCAGCCCCACTAGAAGGTGTGGGGCAGTTTCTTTACCTATTTTGTTGCTCCAGCACCAGGCTGGCACAGAATATCAGGATTCCTTTCCCAGATAAGGTCCAGCCCTACTCTTTCCTCAAAATGTTCTGCCACAATTTCAGCAGGTGAATCAGGGGTCTTTGCTGTGGCCAAGTCCCATCACCTACAGAGCCAGCAGAGGAATATCCCCACCAAACCCTAACCCCCAGAAGCAGTGCGGATAGATTAGTATTAGTCTGCCCTTCAGCTGAGATGTATATCAACTTTGTTAACACCGAACTAGAAAATAGGCTTAGAAGAAACTTTTAAAAAGCCATGTTCAAACTTTCCCCCCTAAGAGCAATAATATAATACTAAATATAAACAACTACAATGAGGGGTTTAGAAATCTGCTTGGTTGAGAATGTGCTGTATAAAATATGGCTTCTAACATCTGACAGATTCACAGTAGCTTATCAACAGTTACATTAGAATAAACGGCAAGTTTATAGCTTTCATGGTTGCCAAAGCAAACCTGAAAATAAATAGACAGCTTTTGCAAATTTAATTTATTTAAATTATAATAATAGTGCCATGGTGGTAGGGCAAGTGGGCTCATGCATGGGACTCTCTTTACTTTGTACAAGTCTACTACTACTACTACTATTCTACTGTACACCCCACCCCATGTAAGCAAAATTACCTGCTTCAGTTCAGAAGACATATATTTCAAATTTTGGTTAAAAACATCTTTCAGGTGATGCAACAAAAATGAGGCCATAAAATGTGCAATGAATCTTTCCAAAAGCCACATTTTAGTTTAGCAGTAGTGGAATTTAGGGATTTTTTAAAAGTGCAGATATCTAAACCCCTTAACTATAACAATACATCTAAATAATGTAATGCTATGCTACATCCCACTATGCTGCCAAAATGTTTTCAAAATGTTGACATACCTGCCAAAAAATGATAGACTGTTAAGAAAGAGTACAAAATAATCCTGGAATTAAATTTTGTTAAACTGAACATCAGCATTCATATGCTAAATTATAAAAATTATAAACCTGTTTTTAATCTAGAACAATATTTTTAAAAAACTATGTAAATATTATTTTATTAAGACAGTGACATAATTCTATGCATTCTTTCATGTTTCGTTCCTCTTCTCCTTCACCTCTTTGTATGGATGCAACAAGCTCTAGGTAATGGATGGGGATAAACATGTGGAGGGAGCTGGAACAAAGAGGGGGGAAATAGGAAGGAGCAGGAGACATTTTTAGACCTAGCACTTTGACAACAAAAACATCAAATGTTCTTGTATGTGTCAAAGGTCACTTCCCTCTACAAAAGATCCAACATATTTTCTGCAGTGTTCAACAGGGCTACAACCCTGCATTCTAGGAGATTTAGCTGTTCAGGTACATTTGAGACCTGTAATAAAATGTAGTAAGCAGTGCTCCTGTTTGCAATTCCAGTCTGTGTAATACTCCTTTCCACCACCCACCATTCCCACCCACCCCATCACTTAGCCAACACTGCTGCTCCATTGCATTGGGCTCTTTTGGATCCCTACCCCTATATTTTCACTTCTATCAACTTCCTGGCTCTCTCAAACCTGCCGATACCTTCCTCTTCTCCATGGGTGGTGCCCTTTCAGCTGCATAAGGATTCACATTTGGGGAATAAGTTTGTTTTTAGTATGTAGGAAAGTACTAAACACTTCACCACAATGCCCTACACTTCTCAGAAATACAGAATGCTACTCTAAAGTGTGATTTCTGGGACATTAAACCTTTTGAATTTAATTCAGTTCTAAAAATCCTGTGATGGTAGTCAGAGGTAAGAAAGGAAAGATTTTCACTTCCCCGTAAGTTCTATCCTCACCCCTAAACAATTTTCTGCTCTAACTTTAATACTACAGGGAAAGCTTGAAGACACTGATGACAACTCAATAGTCTTCAATTCTTAATTGTGCACAGGATTGTGGTTATGTGGACTGAAAGTTGTGCAGAATTCACACGCAGAGGATTCAGAGCAAGGACCTTAAAATTGGCAGTTCAAATATGCAACAAAGAAAAATGAAGAATAATTTGGCTTCAAAGATACAAGTCAATAAGGGTGAAGTTCTACTAAAAGGGGAAAGACAACTTGAAACCCGGCCAGACAGGCAGGGTATAAATATAAATAATAAAATTATTATTATTAAAGAAAACTGCTTTATTGTGAATAAAATCCTGTATTTGTATACATAGGACTAAACTAGGTGTGACACTAAATGCATCACTTGCAGTTACATTTTCTTTTTACACTAATAGAAAGCCTGAGAGCCCCCAATTTAATCAGGATCCTGTCACATGAGGAAAGGACCTTAATACTTTCCTCCATTTCCACAATCCTGGCAAAAATTGCCCCTCAGAGAACAGTAACTAAAAACCATTTCTGCAGCCCTAACAAAAATCAGAGCCCCCACACCTTACACACACACACACACACCCCTTGCAGATGATGGATTTGGTGTCCTGTCCAGTTTAATTCAGACACTTATTTTTACCTAGTACAGAAGACAATCATCTGAAGATTACTGAACACAAATAATTGGTTGAATGGGGAATACCTGACTAGGCAGAGGTACACAGATCTCAGGACTGTAGTTGATTTACAAGCTGAACATGAGTCAGCAAAGTGATACAGCTGCAAAAACAGGCTAATGTGATTTTAGACTGCATTAAATAGACCCATATTTTCCAAGTCAAAGTAGTACTGTAATAGTTACACTTTATTCAAGCACTAGTGAAACTTCATCTGAAATATTGTATTCATTTTCAGTTGTTGCACCTTAGCAAGGACATAGACAAATTGGAATGAGTTGAGAGGAAGGCAATGAAGATGGTCAGTAGAAAGAAAGAAACAAATGTTCGTTTGTGGATACAGCTCATGGTTAGTGAGAAAAGAGCTTAACCACAAATATGGGTTCAGACAACATGTTAAACCAAACCTTAGCTTAACTCAGGGTGATGGACAAATAAAAAAGACCAGGGACAAACAAAGCAGCAGTGAGTTCCTCTTCAGGAACTTGCACATTCATGTGGTCCCAGTAAGCCACAATTTGGTTTACCATGTGAAGTTCATTGATTAAATAAAACTGAAAAAAGAAAACCTAATACTTTCTATAAAACTAGTTGTAAATCCCAAATATTTACAAATTTCTTAAAGGTATATATATATATTTAATTATCCTGCAGGGAAGCCTGAATAATAGTTACCAAACAATAATACCAGTGTCATTGACACATATGAGTTAATGGTCTGGTTCGCACACAACTCTAAACCATGGCTTATTAAATCATGCTTTGTTAATCCGAATCCTGTCTAGTAACTTAATTATGGTTTGTTTACTGTCAACAAACCACAATCTGAAGCCATGGTTATGAACAGCTCAGCTGGGTAAAAACAAAGGATTTCATCAGACATCTAAAACACAGAATAGTAGGCACTAATCTAATCGCCGTAGAGACAGAGTTCCATAATGCTAGTGCAACCACAAAGAAGGCCTTGCTGCTGGTAACCACACACTGAATTGTGTGCAAACCAGTCTAATATGGCTGGATCTTGTTTATTTCCTAACATAGACTTTCTAATTTACTAACCTTTTTCCATGAGTCTGACTAGAATGGATAGCATAAGAATTACAGCAGTTATACAAAATATTAGTCCACTCACATAAAGGTAACTGAATTATTTACTACAGTTGAAAATTAATTCATGTAGCTAACTTTATCATTATCAAAGACATTGTGGTTTCTCTGCTTCTGAAACATTTACTAAAGAAAAGGAATTCCATCTTTTTTCTGTTGTCAGCAAGGAGATGCATTATGCTTTCAATCTGCCCGTCATTTAAAGGATTTACAAATTAGCAGACAGCAAAATTCCCTGTTCAGGTAGGAGAAGCTGAAGTCAAGCAACTAGCATGGATAGCAGTGGGGAAGGTCCCATTTATCCTTCCCTTATCCCCATCCAAACTCCCAAAATGGGAGTGATAAATTATCACTGATAATCCCTCACCTGGAAAAAATGCTAATACCAGCCAGCCATGCTTCTTCACAAAAGTTTTGGTCAGGAGTGGAGGCCCAGAAGCAAACACTATTTCTACTGGTCAAAGATGTTCATAAGAAGATGGCAGGCAGCAGAAAAGCAGAAAGAC